CTGGAATATTGCTAAAAGCGGCGTAAAACCATACTCACTCACTCACTCTGGGGTATGAAAAGGTTTGAACCTTTATCACGAGTGGGTGTGTATTGGTACCGCTGCATCTTTTGTGGAGACCAACCATCATAAGAGTGAATATGAGCTGACGTCACTTCTAGAAATATTCCAGCAATATCACATCGCGGGACACAATTGATGGCCCCCCATGTGGGGAATCGAACCCGGGCCTTCGGCCTGACGTGCAAACGATTTAACCACACCTCACCGCCCCCATCGCCATTGGAACCAAGGTACAACATTAAATGGGTTTTTTCGTTGTATTTAGGTAGCTTTGTCGAGATGATGTGAAAGCCACAATAAAACTACAATAATTTCACTGGGATGGTTGTAGCGTTGTCGGCGTTCGTGATCTGGTTAAGTTAATAACACTCGTAGCGCAGTTTACTATCGGCTCAGCCTACGTTTCCTCGTGATACCAGTAAAAGGTAACCCATCCAACCGGCGCACTGTTATAACAATTGGACTTTGTTTTATCTAGATTTGACCGCCTCCTTGGCCAAGTGGGTAGAGCGTCTGCCCTGAGAGGTCGGTGTTTGATCCCGGAGTATATTGTGTCAAAGATGCAAATATCGCTATATAGATGCAAAAGTTAAACCCCATTTCATCTCGCCTTTATCCAGATTTGATCGGATCCCTAACGTGTCAAAATATCACCTTCTATTTCAAGAATCCTGAACAGATACCTCATCTGACGGTCTTTCAGCCTCCAAAGCAACCATGCAGTATTAATTCAGTATATAAACATTTAATTGCCATTGAACAGCTTCCAAAGATACATAACAGGTCGTTTCCGTTCAAGAGGCCAATGGTTAATGAATGTTTAAAATGACGTGACTCGTGCGAGGATAACGTTAAGTACAGTCAATGGACTATATCTCAGAGAGACGGAGAGTATCCCGGACGTTTTATTGCGGGTGCGTATCACTTCAGATATATACGCATCACTGAATCATTTAGGAACATCCATGGCTCGAGGTTCAAGGGGTGTTGTAAGGACTGACGGCGATTCAGGACGCCGTAAATAAGCAGTAAACCATATTATCGATTGTTTAGAATTCGTACTTGAAAGACATTAAGGAGAGCTACAACTTGGGGTGAACGTACCAGCAACTCAAACAATGTAATTTGGAAAAAAATTATCTTTACAAGCTTGTTATTTTTCTGTATGTGCATACTATATTGATTTGTTAGTATTGAACTGTATGGAGGGTAGAGAAACATCGACCCAAGCTGTATAGCGGATACTGTATAGTTGGTGTTGAGCAAACAGATACATTATAAGAATAGTCTATATTTGATAGCTGATGTTACGGAAACAGATACACGGGCGGTATAGCTGATATTGTATATATGATGTTGAGGAAACAGATAAACGGGCTGTATAGCTGATATTGTATAGATGATGTTGAGGAAACAGATAAACGGGCTGTACAGCTGTTATTGTATAGATGATGTTGAGGAAACAGATAAACGGGCTGTATAGCTGATATTGTATAGATGATGTTGAGGAAACAGATAAACGGGCTGTACAGCTGTTATTGTATAGATGATGGGGAAACAGATACATGGGCTGTGTAGCGGATATTGTATAGATGATGTTGAGGAAACAGATAAACGGGCTGTATAGCTGATATTGTATAGATGATGTTGAGGAAACAGATAAATGGGCTGTGTAGCGGATATTGTATAGATGATGTTGAGGAAACAGATAAACGGGCTGTATAGCGGATATTGTATAGATGATGTTGAGGAAACAGATACACGGGCTGTATAGCGGATATTGTATAGATGATGTTGAGGAAACAGATAAACGGGCTGTATAGCTGTTATTGTACAGATGATGTTGAGGAAACAGATAAACGGGCTGTATAGCTGTTATTGTACAGATGATGTTGAGGAAACAGATAAACGGGCTGTATAGCGGATATTGTAGACTAAAATCTAGTCTCTGAAATGAACATATCGTACATAAAAAAACAGTTGTTTAGTTATCTTAATAAAAATATAATAAAAAGGAGCCCAGTGACTCTCTTCATTTTCAGATACAGACTTGCATGGGCTGTATTTGATATATATTTGTATCAGGGTCTGTAAGACAGACTACTGATATTGTATAGATGATGTTGAGGAAACAGATAAATGGGCTGTGTAGCGGATATTGTATAGATGATGTTGAGGAAACAGATAAACGGGCTGTATAGCGGATATTGTATAGATGATGTTGAGGAAACAGATACACGGGCTGTATAGCGGATATTGTATAGAACGATGAAGAAACATGCGGATGAGAAACGTGTTTATATCTAGTACCACGCTTCCAACCACTAGGTTTCCTGGCCTGGACTTGATTATTTACAGGTCGTCGTGTTTTGCTTAAATTTTGCTGACGTGCCTTAAAACTATCACCCACTTCCAAACATGACTCACGTGACATTTATAGGGTAGAGAAACATTTAACCAAGCTGTATAGCGGATACTGTATAGTTGGTGTTGAGCAAACAGATACATTATAAGAATGGTCTATATTTGATAGCTGATGTTACGGAAACAGATACACGGTCTGTATAGCTGATATTGTATATATGATGTTGAGGAAACAGATAAACAGGCTGTGTAGCTGATATTGTATAGATTATGTTGAGGAAACAGATAAACGAGCTGTATAGCGGATATTGTATATATGATGTTGAGGAAACAGATTAACAGGCTGTGTAGCTGATGTTGTATAGGTTATGTTGAGGAAACAGATAAACGGGCTATATAGCTGTTATTGTATAGATGATGTTGAGGAAACTGATAAACGGGCTGTATAGCTGATATTGTATAGATGATGTTGAGGAAACAGATAAACGGGCTGTGTAGCGGATATTGTATAGATGATGTTGAGGAAACAGATAAACGGGCTGTATAGCGGATATTGTATAGATGATGTTGAGGAAACAGATACACGGGCTGTATAGCGGATATTGTATAGAATAATGAAGAAACATGCGGATGAGAAACGTGTTTATATCCAGTACCATGCTTCCAACCACTAGGTTTCCTGGCCTGGACTTGATTATTTACAGGTCGTCGTGTTTTGCTTAAATTTTGCTGACACTCACTTCCAAACATGACATTTATACCATATTAATGCATTCGTGTTTTTATTCATGAGTATCAAGTGGCCATTCGACATGAACGTGAACATCGATATCATTGGATTGGTATATCACACTGGCTCTTTGCATAGTTACATCATGTAGTTAGCAGCAGCGTCCTGCCACGTTGTACACCAGCTACAAAATGAATATCACGAAACAGGAAGTCACTGTTACTGTGATCATACCAAGGGACCAATTTAGGTGACAGTTTTATTAAAATACATAACATTGAATCTATTTGTTTTAGTGAAGACGTTGTTTTCAATACCCTGCTGAAAAGAAGTGTAATTATTTGATTGATTTCTTGGGACGATGTTTGCATGGATCGTCCGGCGAACCGTCGACATCATGTTTGTCAGTGAACCAATACTGGTGAGTGAGTATGGTTTTACGCCGCTTTTAGCAATATTCCAGTAATATCACGGCGGGGGACACCAGAAATGGGCTTCACACATTGTAGCCATGTCGGGAATCGAACCCGGGTCTTCGGCGTGACGAGCGAACGCTTTAACCACTAGGCTACCCGACCGCCCCTGAACCAATACTGGAAGGCCAAGGCTAACCCGGAGGTTTGAGTACTGTGAAGACTTAATGGTGACTTGTTCCGATCCTTTGCTACACTTTTATTCACTATTCAAATTTCTTGTTCTAATTGTTCCACCTGGAATAAACTTAAGACACATCTTTACCTACGGGGGCACGAACCTGGGTCTTAGGTGTGACGAGCGAATACATCAACCACTGCTCTTAACCCATAATGTCACGCTCAAAAGGTTTCAAATACACAGCTCTCACATTTAACTGTTAAAGGTATACTAATTTGTTTTTACCTTCACCCTTGACACAGCCATTGTTAATAATTAAAATAAAATAAACTATTTCTAAACGTCTATAACTTGCGTCCCATCGGGGTTCCCTCCTACATCTAACTGCAAGCTGTAGTATAACTGAAGTAATGTTCAATACGGCGTTTAGCTGATGTTATTTAACAGTTATGTTATTTTAGGGCTCAGTCACATATTCAGGATTTTTACTGCCGTCCTTGATAGGACTATTCCCGATTAAAATTTGTCAAAAGTCGGACCAAGATCCTGTGATTCGTGGCGGAAAATTCACAAACAATCAGATATTGTTCAGGAAGCGTCCCGATTCAGCCGTTTCCAGCCGAATTCGTCCCGATTCTCAATCCGAATCTAATCTGATTTGTATCTTCCGCATGGTAAAAAACGACCGAATCTGTCCCGACAGCGTCCCGATTCTCCCGAATGCGATCCCATAGACATCAGACAGTGACCGGACAGTGAACCGACAAAGACGGTTCGCATTCGGCAAGATCTGGACGCAATCTGGACTCATTCGACAAGAAACGGCAATTAACAATTCATGCCCGTTCATCACGACAGCGCCCCGCTCCACAGGACACCGTTCAGACAACACAGAACATTGTTACAATTTTGATCCGATACAGCAGATTCGGGCCTTACATTTACTACATTTGTGAAAAGTTATTTCGTTTTGTTTGTTTGTTGTTTAACGCCACGCTCAGCAATATTACAACTATATGACGGCGGTCAGTAAATAATCGAGTCTGGACTAGACAATCCAGTGTTTGACAGCATGAGCATCGATCCACGCAATTTGGGATACAATGACATGCATCAACGAGCCTGACCACCCGTTTGGCGCCTCTTACACAAGCACGGGTTGTTGCAGACCAATTCCAAACCCGATCTTCACGTGTGTGTGAAAGGTCGGCGGCAACAAAGGTCAGTAATGTACAAAGACGAGACTGACCTTGTGTGACCTGACGGCCTTGTTTCTCTCCATCATGGCGCGGACGTTGGGGGACATGAAGTAGTGTTTGGCGTATTTGTCACCCACGGCGTCGTATTGGGGGATGATTGGATTCCTCCCCGACCGGCTGGACGTCGTTGTCTTGACGCTGTCGTTGACGAAGTTTTCCTCCAGCCCCTTCAGTGTCGGAATGGGCGGGAGGGACCGGATGGAGGACGGCACCCGGTCTCTGTGCCACAAAGGGCTGCCGTACACTACCCATGATGACTTGCTGAGTGTTGATGATGCCTGTTTGTGTAGAAGACAGCGAACATTACCATCGGGCTTTGTAATAAAGTAACACTTCTAAAATGCTACCGTAGAGCAGGACATGCTTACCCTATTTGAGAAAACCGGATAAAATATAGAGGCATACAGTGTAAAATGATCTCGCCAGCGGCGGGTATGGGCCACCGTAAGAACACTTGTTATCATCATTGATTTTCAACGATCACTGACATAATTTTTTATCACAATTTTGCCTATTGGGCCCAAAAGAATCTATTTCGGCAGATAATCGATACTTGTTGCACTCTGGCGTTGACGGTTTACATTTACATTGGATATTGTACTATTGTCAGTATATTATGGTCAGATAATGTCGATTTATGATCGTAATGTTTCTTCATTATTTTTATCGAAATATTGTTGCAAATATACACATTATGTGAAACAATTAAATATTACCTGTAACTTAAACGATGATTAATCATTTTCATTGTATATATTTATATGATATTAAAATTCTATAGCTATATCGTTTAATACGGTTTCTAGAATTCTAAGACTTTGTCAGGGAAACCATTCGAATCAAAATAGTTTGTATATGATACAAAAAAGTGCAGAAGGATAAAAGTAAGTAGGTGTGTAAATGTGATCATAATCGCGTCCAAATGTCAACGATATTACATTACATGGAACGTTCATAATCAAATTACGTTTTAGAATAACAACAGTCATAAACTGACATTTGATACGGAGTTTACTTGCGTGCAAACCGCTGATTATAGATAACGGAGTTTTAATGCTAGAATTGATCGTTGAGCGTTGATCGTTAATCAGTATCAGTTAAAAACCAATAAGATTACTACAAATTATAAACAAAACAACGTATGGCCTTTCTGCATTATACTTTTTGGAACAAACATGCAATACATAACTGCCGGACAGAGAAGGTTTGATGGTGGCTAAAATGACACAAATACTTATGCGATGGTGATATATTTTATACGGGTATCGTGGTTGTGTTGTAAACCTGAAGTTGGCAGTGTTTCGGTAACGTTTTAATAAAAAACGTTTGTAATCCAATTTTCAAGTGTATATTTCCTCATCCCGGCAGGCAAGTTATACTTTTATATAAGTCCACATTTATCATGCGTCTGTTGATACTTTGTCTCAAAGAATTTATTTGAATTACAAGTACACATCAACCATTTTTTACAGCGATATAAAAAATAATTATTAAAAACCAACACAATTCTAGGTGTTGTTTTAAATGCTTACATGAGAGCGTTTAGACCCCGCCTTGCTGACCGGCTCCGTCACAACCGTCCCGTCCTCGGAGTCAGGGCCTCGAAGGGGGGCATCCGGCGAGCTCGCCATCTCTACACTGACAGCGGAACGAAGTCTCTGTCTGAATCTCTGATGTTGAAATGTTTCTTTACAGCCTTGAGAGGTGGCTAAATGGCAGGTACTCCTTTGTCTTCGGGGGAATACCACACGCTTAAATATATATTTCACGAACTAGTCTCATGGCCCGGGGTGATTTCAGTCGTTAAGGTTTGTTTTTTGTTATCCAATTAACTGAGTGATAATTTTTGTCTTCTAGGAGTTCGATCTTGATTACTTAGAAAAGGTTCCGCCGTCATCTACATGCTATCTGATTTACAATCATTTCTTGAATCAAAATAATTTTGATTAAAATTCAAAATAATTAATTGCTCCTACATAGGCAAACACACTGATTTCCGACTCGCCTGAAAACACGCCAAGCATTAACTAGCGTCTAACAGACTCCATTAACCAGCTATTATCCCTTTGATAGACCTGCACCTCGTGTTAGCGTTCGTATCCAGTAGCCTGTCGACTGGACTTGCCTCTCCGCCGGGACTGCTCGCGCGCAGTCTAATAGGTTTATAAAATCCAAATCATTGGTGTTCAGGAAACCCTCACTGATCCAGCGATCCGCTTTTCCTTCGATCTATTATGGCTGGTTCGGGGATTCCAATAGAGGGATTACTGTCGTCAACTTGGTGAAAAACGTCTTAGAAATTAGCTAATCCCTCTTGCTTTTACCTTCCGCAATAATCCTGCCAACCCTCGATTGTTAAATATTCATTACGTCCAGGCATTGTGCTGTAAGTGGAAAGAAAGTCTTGTAAACAATGAACCTCTGCACGCAGAATCTATCCGAGCTGCCTGGAAACAACACAAGCAATGCTATACGTTTGATTGATATTTGTGTCTGATGACCCCCTCGACAGCTCTGTTTCATGACATTAATCCTCAGTTTTAGAACTTTCCTACTTTTAGGACTGTTGGTAGTCTCCCCATTTGCAATGCTCAATCAAGCAGCAGCGTAATTCCTATACCGTGTCTACATGCCATGCTGGAGTTTGAAGGGTGCTGAAATATATACCATGACCTGTCTCTTCATATTGGGCTAGTGTTTCGATTCAATACTCTGATAGTACGTATGTATAATATCACTGTCAAACAGTCTACACCGTGTGAACTTTAGGGTTCAACGAATTCTCATATATGTTGCAACTAGTTTGGTCGGCTCCATTTAGTTACGCTAGAAGCGAGTAGGATCACTCTGTTTCTTAAAACGGTACACGACCCCTTGTTCTATAAATTGCTGGGCAATTATAAATATACGCATGAAAATTTGAAAATTACAAAGGCTATGAAAACGTTACTGGGCTGAAAACAGTCATCGAAACACTGCAAGCTTAAAGTCCAAAACAGAACTATGATACCCGTATGAAACACATCGCCATCGAATAACCAACTGTTTGCGTCATTTGTATCCATAATGAAACATAGGTGTATGCTATAAACTGTAGCAGTATCGCGAGGGGTACATGTAGTTTATGCGTTCTGCGTTAGGTTTTATATGGCGAGCCGGAGGAGAATGTACCACATGTACCCCGAGTGATCCTGCTATAACGAATTTATCTTAGCCACATGTTTTAAACTGCCATTGTAAATGAATTAAAACATATTCAAAATGATAGAAAATAGCTGTTCGGTTGACTTCGGTCACGTGACTTTCATTGATTCGGAAAAAGCGGCTCTTTTCTTCGAAGCGGGGTATAAGGCATTTATTCTCCCCGTCAGAAATCCACGCATAGCCTGTTTTCTTCGTGGCGGGGCATACCATGCCGAGATACCATGCCGCAGTTTAACATGAATACCCCACTCAGACACAGTATACTGACTCCGAGCCGACCAGTCCTTGTTTTAGCCCCTTAATGCCGAGCGCCAGACAGGGTAACAAGTACCATCTTTTAACGTCTTTTGGTATGACGCGGCCGGGGATCGAACCCCGGACCTCCCGGAAGCGGTCTTGTGTTAGTTTGAAACCATAATGGAACTCCAGATATACTACCTACAATAATAACATACCAGTGTTTATTATCAGCTGCTTTAATACAAATACACCATTCTAGTATTGAGCGATTTTCTGTGAGTATATGGAGGCACAGCGGATCAGTCGGTTATGGCGCTGCACTTCGCTGTGCAGAGTTGCGTCCCTTAGACATACCAGGAACTATTGTCGTGGTTTGAATCCCATATTCCCCTGATTCTTTTTCTAGGTTTGTCAGCAACATACAAAATACAAAATCATTCTTAAAGGACTGTAAAATACAACCCAAAATTTTCTGCGTAGTTCATCTGGTATCATTTTAAAGGGGGGCACGGGTGGCCCAGTCGTCTAAGGCGCCGCGATTCGCTGTGCAGAGTTGCGTCCCTTAGGCACGCCAGAAACCTATGATTGTGGGTTCGAATCCCGGTTCGCCCCGATTATGTTTCTAGGTTTGTCAGCACCATACCCGTGCTCGTGGGTTTCACCGAAGTGGTAAACGTCTGAGACCTGCATCACTTCGGGCTTTCCTCCCACATTAAGCTGACACCCCGCGATATAACTGGAATAATGTTAAAAGCGGCGTTTAAACCAACTCACTCACTCACTCATTTTATAGTGAAGCTACCTGGACGCGACAGAAACATGTATTGAAGATATACAGATTGTCAGGTTATTTAGACAACATCGCTGCTGACATATGAAAGACAATTATTCTAAATACAATCATAACAAAACATAACACCTTTTTGTAAGCTCAGTTACTTAATATAATACGTCCACTGATATAACTGACCTTCAACACCTGCCTGGATAACATCTCAGCGTTTGTTCAGAATCACTCACCTGAGTTTACCTGGCAGGTGATTCCCCACAGCTATACTCGTGGGATGGGATAGTGTACCACGTGCCATTTTACACGACTGCCACGTGAACGACAGCCTCCCCACCCCATACCTCTACACAATCAGCGGCGGTGATATTCCCATAGGTGTTGATACTCGAGATTTGGCGATAAGGATCAAACTCTTTTAAATAAAAACCCAGCGGCTGTTACACTATATGGGATTGATACAATCAAGAAATAAGTAACATATTCATTAAAATTCCAACATTAAACCTTTTAGAACTCTACTGATGTTAGTACATGTCGAAAATAGTATAAGTGCTTTATTTACAAAATTGCATGATAGGTTTATACTGGTTGTAAGTTCGAAGACCAGAATCCTCCAAATTGGGATCTTGTCAGCTCCATAACCGTGTTCATGGGTTTTACCAAAGTAATACATAAAAAAACAAAACAAAACAAAACACTGGGTGTTTTCCCCGCATAATGCTAACATGCAATATAATCATTCGCGAAATACTGTTCAAAGCACCGTTATATCCAACTCACTCACTCACTCATGCACGCGACCCGTGAAGATCCGGGGTAGAATAAGTCTTAAGAAACCCATGCTTGCCTTAAGAGGCGACTATGCTTGTCGTAAGAGGCGACTAACGGGATTGGGTGGTCAGGCCCGCTAATTTGGTTCATGCATGTCATCGTATCCCAATTGCCTGGATCGATGCGCATGATGTAAATCACTGGATTTTCTGGTCCAGACTCGATTATTTACAGACCGCCGTCATATAGCTGGAATATTGCTGAGTGCGGCATCAAACAACAAACAAACACTCACGCATGCACTGATAGAGTGCAGTTTAAATGACAAGACGCGTGGCTGTTTAGCCTGAGTTGTGCGTTACCTTTCTCCTTCATTTTCTCTTTACTCCTATAGCAGTCTTCCATGTGACTGGGGCGGTCGGGTAGCCTTGTGGTTAAAGCGTTCGCTCGTCACGCCGAAGACCCGGGTTCGATTCCCGACATGGGTACAATGTGTGAAGCCCATTTCTGGTGTCCCCCGCAGTGATATTGCTGGAATATTGCTAAAAAGCGGCGTAAAACCATACTCACTCCATGTGACTGAACGATGTTTACAGCGTACGGAACAAAACCCCTGGAAACTTTATGTCTTGACTGGTATGACATCAAATATAATATCATAATCTTTATTTATGAACAATGTCACAACTATAAATAAGATAAAACGCCGGAGCCGTTTGGTTTTCTAAACAAAATCTTATCTCCCCGTTATGTCAAAGAGAAGCGTATTTAACGTAGATTTGTATTCTCGCTTATCTAACGTCAGATCTTGGAATATTAATGACGGTCAAACCGCCATACCTACTTAAGATAGGGAGCTCGTCTTTAACACTAAGATCAGCCTGCCGAGTGACATAACACTTTAGAGATATTCAGTAGCTTTTCCTAGCAACCGCTGCTATGTAACGAATGTCAGACACAAGTGTATTCAATACGAAAACAATGGCCAACGTCTTGAGTGACAGATAGTTGAACATTGAAGACGAGCTCGATTGTAATATGCCAAACAACATTTCAAAACCTCGCTTCGTTCTCGGGGAAAGATCATCATTGACATATCTGTATGTGTGCGGTTTAGTGTTTAGACAGATACCAGTCTCACATCGATATTCACGGATAAATGTTATTTGTCACTTGGTTATCTGACTGGTTTAAACAATGACTGATCCCCACTCCAGAAGGGAATAATGACTGATCCCTTTGTATGCGTTAAAACAATCACAAACCAGAGCGAGCACGACATTGAAGTTATATCCTGGCTGTAGTAATAAAACTAGTAATCCTACTCAACTCAAATATTGACTATTCAATTTATAGCTGGTAGCATATCTTAAGCCTGCGTTATTATGCTCTCGTTTCTCAAAGTAGGTTTGCATTTTCACTGATATCTTAACTGAACTTACTATTAGGGTTAATAAATATATAATGCCGTAAAATGACTTAAAATAAAGTATTTGATTTTACCCAAATAATATTAAACCGCGACAGGCTGAAAACAGTCACCGAAACACAGCCATGATACCCGTATCAAATACATGATCATTGAATAACCATTTTTGGGTTCAAACATAGGTGTATACTTCCTTTTGCCTGGCAAGTTATTTACGTCTCGAGTGTCGTCTATGAGATTCAAGGTGCTCGAAAAGAGGCATTCGTGGATCATTTATTATTTTCAACAATAAACTTATTTTTTTTAAATCCTTGAACTACTCAGCAAATCACTAGCTGCATATATGCACATTATACATATAGCGCTCTTGCGCCACAAGAACACTCATGACGTTGACGAAACGCCGAGGCCAGTGACCAATGTTTTAATGAATAATAGAATGCACTTTGTGTAATCAAGTTATTGGTCATGGATATACTTTCTTGTGGGCGGAGAGTGCTACCGATAGAGCAGGACGTGAGCTGACTCCAGGTGTCATCACCGATTTTCAATGATCTATACATATAATGTTATCACTCAGTCTGTTTTTACGCCCAGTGGAATCTGTTTTGGTGGACAATCGAAATGATGATTCTCTGACGTTGACGTTATATATTTATTGGTCTGTCCCCGCTCTCTCATCAACGTCACACTTTACTGCTAAAGTATCTTTATAGAAACCCGGAGCGGTCGGGTAGCCTAGTGGTTAAAGCGTATGCTCGTCACGCCGAAGACCCGGGTTCGATTCCCGACATGGGTACAATGTGTGAAACCCATTTCTGGTGTCCCCTGCCGTGATATTGCTGGAATATTGCTAAAAGCGGCGTAAAACCGTACTCACTCACTCACTCAATTATAGAAACCCATCTATTGAAAAATTCGTATTATTTACGAAATGTTATTGTTCTCCTGTTCAAGTCACATATGGCAGATATGTTGAAACTGAACAGAAATATGTGATCTCTATACTGCTGTATGTTCTCTATAATTGTTACCTGCGATAATAAATCTCTGTTCTGTTAAGCAATACTTAAACACGTGGCATACCGGTTCCGCCTATGAAACAATCCGACAACAAACAGTGTAATATGATTTGTTATTATATAACTGAGCTGGAATTATAGCATTATTTAAACCATAATAGTGTTAGTAATAGGATTTAGTAACAGTTAGGAATGGAATTAAGTTACAGAAGGCAAAACATTTATTAACTGTCAATTTGGAAGAGATATTATATGTATATCATTTACATTAATTACCTCACTATTACAGTATTCAATATCGGAAGAGCATTTTACTCGCTAATGTTAGTTTTTTTTGAAAGTGAAAAGACGAGTATCGGAAAAACAACGAGACATTTCGAACTTAATCTACATGCGTAACCATGACACTGGATTGAGATTTCATAGGAAGTACATGCACCTATAACGGGGCGAACGAAAATCTCGCCTACCTGTTTAATCCCCAGTGCAGACGCGGGTGCAGACATATGACTGTGTGTTATACCCCGACACGTCGCAATACATTCCGGCAATGATAACAACTGCTATTGGCGTCTTCTCCGAGTGACGACAACAGTTATCATGAAATCATTACCTGTGCTCCAGCGTCTATTCGACCTGGAAACTGCCAGGAGTTATGGCTTCGTCTCTTGGTTGTCCCACACTGGGCGTCACACATCATGGGCGCACGGTGGCCCAGTGGTTTGAAGCCATGCTGGGGGAGTTTCATTAGTGGCAGATCACAGATCTGATTGTGGGTCGACTCCCTGATTCACTCTAATGATTACTGATTGCTGATCACAAGCCGCATATGGTTGTTTGTCGTAGGTTTGACGCCTATGGTAAACGTGCTTCACCCTCCCTTGTCGTAGGTTTGACGCCTATGGTAAACGTGCTTCACCTTCTCTTGTCGTAGGTTTGACACCTATGGTAAACGTGCTTCACCTTCTCTTGTCGTAGGTTTGACGCCTATGGTAAACGTGCTTCACTTTCTCTTGTCGTAGGTTTGACGCCTATGGTAAACGTGCACCGCCTTCCCTTGTCGTAGGTTTGACGCCTATGGTAAACGTGCTTCACCTTCTCTTGTCGTAGGTCTGACGCCTATAGTAAACGTGCTTCACCTTCTCCTGTCGTAGGTCTGACGCCTATGGTAAACGTGCATCACCTTCTCTTGTCGTAGGTCTGACGCCTATAGTAAACGTGCTTCACCTTCTCTTGTCGTAGGTTTGATGCCTATGGTAAACGTGCACCACCTTCCCTTGTCGTAGGTTTGATGCCTATGGTAAACGTGCATCACCTTCTCTTGTCGTAGGTTTGATGCCTATGGTAAACGTGCACCGCCTTCCCTTGTCGTAGGTTTGACACCTGTGGTGAACGTGCACCACCTTCTCCTGTCGTAGGTCTGACGCCTATGGTAAACGTGCACCACCTTCTCTTGTCGTAGGTCTGACGCCTATAGTAAACGTGCACCGCCTTCCCTTGTCGTAGGTTTGACGCCTATAGTAAACGTGCACCGCCTTCCCTTGTCGTAGGTTTGACACCTGTGGTAAACGTGATCCACCTTCTCTTGTCGTAGGTTTGATGCCTATGGTAAACGTGCACCACCTTCTCTTGTCGTAGGTTTGACACCTGTGGTAAACGTGATCCACCTTCTCTTGTCGTAGGTTTGATGCCTATGGTAAACGTGCACCGCCTTCTCCTGTCGTAGGTTTGACACCTGTGGTAAACGTGATCCACCTTCTCTTGTCGTAGGTTTGATGCCTATGGTAAACGTGCACCGCCTTCTCCTGTCGTAGGTCTGACACCTATAGTAAACGTGCTTCACCTTCTCTTGTCGTAGGTTTGACACCTGTGGTAAACGTGCACCGCCTTCCCTTGTCGTAGGTTTGATGCCTATAGTAAACGTGCACCGCCTTCCCTTGTAGGTCTGACGCCTATAGTAAACGTGCATCACTTTCCCCGACATTATGCTGACAAGCCTTTATCTGATAGACTTTTAAACTCACTCACTTATACGTCATGACTTGCATTCTGAGAAAGAAGTCCCTAAGTTCATAAAATGTTTAAATATTATGATATGGGTGTAATATTACATCGAATACTGACTATAGAGGGAACTTGAATATTTCCCCCGGAAACTAAGAAGCTATTTATTTGACTATAATAGCTTACTGCTGTGTTGAGGCCATGCCCCCCCAACACCTCAAACACAATTTATTCTCTCGATAATTTAAAGATTAGATTAAGTTGGTATCTACGTGGGGTATCGAACTTTGTATGTTGGGAGTGACACATGTCTCACAATTAATAAGCGAAAATCACGACGTTTCTTATGGGATACTGTAAGGGACATACTCGCGTAGTCGCATTCTCGCGATCTCGACGTTTTGAAACAAGCTAAATATGCCAACAGTGCGAGAATGCGAGATCGGCCAAAATCTCGCGTTCTCACTATCTCGCATTCTTGCACTTTTGGCATATTCAGCTTGTTTCCAAACGTCGAGATCGCGAGAATGTTCCTCACAGTATGCCATAGGTTCTTCCTGCGAACTACTTTACAATAAGTATAGCTGTACATTGTATAGGCTGAACCAAGCTTGCACTTAGCGGAAAGCACTTTAAGATAAGCGCTGGTAGTGATACGGTTTATTACGCTGACGTGTTCAAACCAAACGCCACTAATAATGTAATGACGAGGGGGGATTATTTAGGAGTGTATATCCTAGAGCATGGTTTGAAATAAATACATGTGCGTCACTGTAGGTTGCTTTCTGTTACCCAACAATAAATAAACATGACAACCTTAATTATTAGAGCGCATCAGAACAAATCGACAACTATATATTAGGTTACGTTCAGAACGTTTCCGGTATTACTACCATGCTAAATATTGGTATGGGTGTGGGTTTGGGTGTGGGTGTGGGTGTGGGTGTGGGTGTGGGTGTGGGTGTGGGGGTGTGGATGTGGGATTGGTTGTGGTTGTGGGTGTGGGTGTGGCTGTGTGTATGTGGATGAGGTTGTGGGCGTGGGTGTGGGTGTGGGTGTGGATGTGGGATTGGTTGTGGTTGTGGGTGTGGGGTGTGGGTGTGGATGTGGATGAGGTTGTGGGTGTGGGTGTGGGTGTGGGTGTGGGTGTGGGGTGTGGGGTGTGGGTGTGGTTGTGGATGAGGTTGTGGGTGTGGGTGTGGGTGAGGATGTGGGATTGGTTGTGGTTGTGGGTATGGGTGTAGGGTGTGGATGTGGATGTGGATGAGGTTGTGGGTGTGGGTGTGGGTTGTGGGTGTGGATGTGGATGAGGTTGTGGGTGAGGTTGTGGGTGTGGGTGTGGATGTGGGGTGTGGGTGTGGATGTGGATGAGGTTGTGGATGAGGATGTGGGTGTGGGTGTGGGGTGTGGGTGTGGATGTGGATGAGGTTGAGGGTGAGGTTGTGGGTGTGGGTGTGGGTGTGGGGTGTGGGTGTGGATGTGGATGAGGTTGTGGGTGAGGTTGTGGGTGTGGGTGTGGATGTGGGGTGTGGGTGTGGATGTGGATGAGGTTGTGGGTGAGGTTGTGGGTGTGGGTGTGGGTGTGGGGTGTGGGTGTGGATGTGGATGAGGTTGTGGATGAGGTTGTGGGTGTGGGTGTGGATGTGGGGTGTGGGTGTGGATGTGGATGAGGTTGTGGATGAGGATGTGGGTGTGGGTGTGGGGTGTGGGTGTGGATGTGGATGAGGTTGAGGGTGTGGGTGTGGGTGTTGGTGTGGGTGTGGGATTGGTTGCGGTTGCGGTTGTGGGTGTGGGTGTGGGTGTGGGTGTGGGTGTGGGTGTGGGATGTGGGTGTGGATGTGGATGAGGTTGTGGGTGTGGGTGTGGGTGTTGGTGTGGATGTGGATGAGGTTGTGGGTGTGGATGTGGGTGTGGGTGTGGGTGTGGGGTGTGGGTGTGGATGTGGATGTGGATGTGGATGTGGATGAGGTTGTGGGTGTGGGTGTGGGGTGTCGGTGTGGTTGTGGATGAGGTTGTGGGTGTGGGTGTGGATGTTGGATTGGTTGTGGTTGTGGGTGTGGGTGTGGGTGTGGGATGTGGGTGTGGATGTGGATGAGGTTGTGGGTGTGGGTGTGGGTGTTGGTGTGGATGTGGATGAGGTTGAGGGTGTGGGTGTGGATGTGGATGAGGTTGTGGGTGTGGGTGTGGGTGTGGGTGTGGGTGTGGGGTGTGGGTGTGGATGTGGATGTGGATGTGGATGTGGATGAGGTTGTGGGTGTGGGTGTGGGTGTGGGGTGTCGGTGTGGTTGTGGATGAGGTTGTGGGTGTGGGTGTGGATGTTGGATTGGTTGTGGTTGTGGGTGTGGGTGTGGGTGTGGGTTTTGGTGTGGATGTGGATGAGGTTGTGGGTGTGGGTGTGGATGTGGGTGTGGGTGTTGGTGTGGATGTGGATGAGGTTGTGGGTGTGGGTGTGGATGAGGTTGTGGGTGTGGATGAGGTTGTGGGTGTGGGTGTGGATGTGGGATTGGTTGCGGTTGTGGGTGTGGGTGTGGGTGTGGGATGTGGGTGTGGATGTGGATGAGGTTGTGGGTGTGGGTGTGGGTGTGGGTGTGGTTGTGGGTGTGGATGTGGGTGTGGGTGTGGATGAGGTTGTGGGTGTGGGTGTGGGTGTGGGTGTGGGTGTGGGTGTGGGTGTGGGTGTGGATGAGGTTGTGGGTGTGGGTGTGGGTGTGGGTGTGGGTGTGGATGTGGGTGTGGGATGTGGGTGTGGATGTGGATGAGGTTGTGGGTGTGGGTGTGGGTGTGGGTGTGGGTGTGGGTGTGGGTGTGGATGAGGTTGTGGGTGTGGGTGTGGATGTTGGATTGGTTGTGGTTTTGGGTGTGGGTGTGGGTGTGGGTGTGGGTGTGGGTGTGGATGTGGATGTGGATGAGGTTGTGGGTGTGGGTGTGGATGAGGTTGTGGGTGTGGGGTGTGGGTGTGGGGTGTGGGTGTGGGGTGTGGGTGTGGGGTGTGGGTGTGGGTGTGGGTGTGGTTTTGGGTGTGGATGTGGGTGTGGGTGTGGGTGTGGATGTGGATGTGGATGAGGTTGTGGTTGTGGATGTGGATGAGGTTGTGGGTGTGGGTGTGGGTGTGGATGTGGGTGTGGGTGTGGGTGTGGGTGTGGGTGTGGGTGTGGGGTGTGGGTGTGGGGTGTGGGTGTGGGTGTGGGTGTGGGGTGTGGGTGTGGGGTGTGGGTGTGGGGTGTGGGTGTGGGGTGTGGGTGTGGGTGTGGGTGTGGGTGTGGGTGTGGGTGTGGATGAGGTTGTGGGTGTGGGTGTGGATGTTGGATTGGTTGTGGTTTTGGGTGTGGGTGTGGGTGTGGGTGTGGGTGTGGATGTGGATGTGGATGAGGTTGTGGGTGTGGGTGTGGATGAGGTTGTGGGTGTGGGTGTGGGGTGTGGGTGTGGGGTGTGGGTGTGGGGTGTGGGTGTGGGTGTGGGTGTGGTTTTGGGTGTGGATGTGGGTGTGGGTGTGGGTGTGGATGTGGATGTGGATGAGGTTGTGGATGTGGGTGTGGGTGTGGATGTGGATGAGGTTGTGGATGAGGTTGTGGGTGTGGGTGTGGGTGTGGGTGTGGATGTGGGTGTGGGTGTGGGTGTGGGTGTGGGTGTGGGTGTGGATGTGGATGTGGATGAGGTTGTGGGTGTGGGTGTGGGTGTGGGTGTGGATGTGGGTGTGGGAGCGCATGAGTAGGTGGCTTTGGGTGTGGGAGTGGATGTAGATTTGGATGTAGATGTGGGCGTGGCGTGGCGTGTAGGTGTGTGGTGTGTGGTGTGGTGTGGGTATGGCAATGTTTGGAGACGTGTCAGTGAACGTAGCCCCGACGTCAATGTCCGCCAGCATGTTATGTGTGGTTCAGTGATGGCACAGGTCTGATATATGCTGTACAAGCTTGGAATATTCACAGACTTGTAAGTCGTACCACGGCGGGGGCGGTGAGGGAGTCTAGTGGTTAAAGCGTTCGCTCGTCACGCCAAATGGTTCGGGGTCGATTCCCCACATGGATAAAATGTGAAGCCCATTTCTTGTGTCCCTCGTCGTGATATTGCTGAAATATTGATAAAAGCGGCGTAAAACCAAACTCACTCACTCGGATAACGGCAAACACGTAGAGACGTAACTCAGCGCATATTTCTACTTCGGGCTGCACCTACTTGACAGTGGGTCGGAGTGATGGTATTGACGGGACTGTGAATGTGTTGTTATCGGCGCCCTGTCTACCGGGTATAGGCAGGTGTAGGGCTACGACAACCGAAAGATAAGGAGCCTGTCCGTGTAATCCAACCGACAATTAGTTAAACTCGAGCGCTAAAAATAAAAAAGTAGTAAGCACGCCTGTAATTTGTTCGCCGACACCCAAGGCGCTACCAGACAGGGAGCCGATAACAAGCAATTACACAGCGTCAGTCCGACCCACGGCCAGTAAGCAATAATTAAAACACTGAGAAATACTTCTTCCCAAAACAAAATCATCAAGCGTACGTCTGCAACGCCGCTGTCAGATATTCGACTCTACGCCCGACAGTACCCGACAGACAGACAGAAACAAGCCTATCCACGTCATCAACTGTCCACCTCTCCCACAGTTACCAGTAGCCAAGCTAAGACATGGCTGGAATGGGCTAGCTGCGGTCCGACTGATTAACATCCAGAAGATTAAATAGAGGCGAAAAATAGTTTTGTTCAATCTTTGAATACACGAAACGTCGTCCGAAATAATAAAGAAGTTGTTATCAATTAACAACTCTCACGTTGTGATGGCTCTCCACTAGTGTGGGCAGTTAATAAACTGGAAGCAAGTCTACCAGGCGGATACACCCAGTACATTGACACTCCAGCTGCGCGGACTGTATGAAGAGACATAGAATAACTGTTACTAGTTCTCAAGAGAGAGAGAGAGAGAGAGAGAGAGAGAGAGAGAGAGAGAGAGAGAGAGAGAGAGAGAGAGAGAGACACACACACACACACACACACACATTGTGTCCCCATGTGGAGAATCGAACCCGGGTCTTCGGTGTGACGAGCAAACGCTTTAGCCACTAGGCTACCGCATCAAAAAATATCGATGGCGTAACATGGAAATGGCTACAATGCTGGTGACCTTGAGATTATCATATTTGCATTGACAACAGGGGTTACGTGTTTATATAAGGTTTGTGGCCTTCACTCGTTCAGCAGGTCACCCTTTGGGCGTTGCACGGGAGGCGTTTCAGCAGATAGTTTGCTTTCGTTCAAATATTTACTCATCTTCTCCAGGCAAGCGTGTCCACGAGCCTACATCAGTCTTGCTCCATGAATGGACTATCGCATTTATCCTATCACAAAACGTTTCACAAAACCAACATTCACATACCGAATACGTGGTCGCTGGTATGTCCACAGCCATCGCCTGTCGAATTTGCGCAGAAATTATTTCAACAATTAAGCTTACAGACAAATCTTTACCAAGTGGTTAAGTGGTAAACTGTTTCGCATTTATTTGTTATATCAATGGTGGCTTGACAGCTGTACCACTAGCACGTGCATCTGTGGCAGACAGACACTGGCTACCGTCATTTGACTGCAGGATGGACTATCAGATTCCATGCATCATTTGACGCATAAAGCAGCAGCTGTCCTCTGTAGGAGCACACTTTGTAAGTTAGGCTTTCAAAACGTCAACGTCAGATCATAGTCTCGCATATCCTCGGAAACAGATTCCATAGGGAGTAAAGTACAAAACTGTGATCAGTGATGACACCGGGTGATCATGAGAAAGGGTGAGTACCAGCGATAAACGGGTGAGAACACTCCATGTAAAGGTCGTAGTATGGGAGAGCACGCTGAACCAGGAACCACTTACACACGCATTGACTAACGCACGTATTCTGGAACCTTGCTCAACATCACGACCTCCTTCTAAACACCACTTATACTGATCCCCCGCCTTTCGAACCTCAGTTTCTCTGAGCTGACGCCCCACCATCAGAATCAGAATTTTCCTTACGCCCCGCCTTCAGAATCCCAAATCTCCTGACGCCCCACTATCTGAAACTCAATTCTCTTGACGCTCCTTCTTGAAGTCAATTCTCTTGACGCCACACCTTTCGAATATCAAATCTCCTGACGTCCCACCTTCCGAAACTCACTTCTCCTGACCTCCCACCTTCACAATGTCAATTCTCCTGACGTCCCACCTTCACCATGTCAATTCTCCTAACGCCCCACTATCTGAAGCCCAATTCTCCTGACATCCCACCTCCAGAATCCCAATTCTCCTGACGCCCCACTATCTGAAGCCCAATTCTCCTAACGCCCCACTATCTGAAGCCCAATTCTCCTGATGTCCCACCTCCAGAATCCCAATTCTCCTGACGCCCCACTATCTGAAGCCCAATTCTCCTGACGCTCTTCCTCCCAAACCTCCCTGTATCGGAGACCATGGAACAAATAAATTCAAACTATGAAGCAAAACATAATCTATACTTGCCATTAAGGCTGAACAGTATTAACGATGGCGAACGCTACAGAGAAGAAGATCATATCACATTTATCTATCACAGGTGTTGTAGCCAAGGGCGGAATACATCAGCAACGCAATATGTTAATATTCGTATAGAATCAGCGCTGATATCAAGTGGATATCATTATTTGAAAAGTAAATTTATAATGACCGGCATAATTCCCCCATGCAGATACAAAAGTAACAAATACGGCCACTAGAGATAAACACATGTCACACCTCCTGTACCAGCGTCCTGCGCTATTTACACATCACACAGACTGAGCATATTGAGTAATCCCAAGTTAACGACGATCGTTAACATCAGCGTGTTTACAGACGTCCTATATGCATACACTTGTTGGGAAGCCAAGTTTATACACAGATACATCGGATTAGTTGTCTTGGCACAAGTGGCCCCGAACTGAAGCGTTCTCGGACGGACGGTGATACCACAAAAGATAAAAGACGGTAAGGCCAGCTGAATGATTGTTGTTATTTTCAATATGAATTATAATATTAATAATTTGTTATTCATAATATTTCGGTTGGGGGAAGGGACGGCGATGTCTTTGTTGGACGGAATGCCAGTGTCATAAATGTAACACAGCTGTATTTGTTTGGCACGGTTGTCCAGTCATTTAAAGCTTCGCAACTCGCTTTTCAGATTTGCTTCCTATATAAACCAGTAAAAAAATAAATTCTGAAATAAAATAGTTACACTGTTTAATATTTTATGAAAAAGATTCATAAATGTCACAACAAAAATAAATAGCAGATAAAACAAACGATGTTTAACAATTTATACTCCACAGTCAGAAACTATTCTAAAATGTAGCTATTAAACAATTATTTCATCATTCATAACTTTCGTAAGAGTTATGAGACAGTTACTAACAAACAATATTCCTCTCTACGGATAAGTAGAAGGTATGAAGCAACTGCTGGAATACTTAAAAGACAAGACGAAAATCCCTCTCTGCATGTATCGTACCTATCTTGATAGTGAGTGAGTTGGGTTTAACGCCGCTTTTAACAGTATTCCAGTTATATCGCGGCGTGTCAGCTTAATGTGGGAGGAAAGCCCGAAGTGATGCAGGTCTCAGACGTTTACCACTTCGGTGAATCCCACGAGCACGGGTTTGGTGCTGACAAAGCTAGAAACAAAATCGGGGTGAACCGGGATTCGAACCCACAATCATAGGTTTCTGGCGTGCCCAAGGGACGCAACTCTGCACAGCGAATCGCGGCGCCTTAGATGACTGGGCCACCCGTGCCCCCCTATCTTGATAGAATATTTCGGTAAATATATCATCTGGAGAGGGTTGTGTTATTGTTTGGAGAATGTCAATCAGCTGTTGTCAGTGTTTTCCTGGACATATAAAGGCATGTTACGGAGACGATGTCTGTTTTGCTTCTATCTGGTGCATTATTCAACTGCGCACTGGGCAAGCGAGTGAGCGAGTTGGGTTTTAAGTCGCTTTTAGCACATACCAGTAATATCACGGCGCTGGGCACCAGAAACGGGACATGCACTACGGTGTAATTTTGGGAATCCAACCGGCAATGTGGAGAATTCACACTGTGAATGTGGGAATATACACAGAGGAATTGAACTCGCGTGAAATTTAATGTTTGAAATCTCAAGCTGCGCGTTCAATCTACAGGTGACCTTGCCCTGACTAGTCTAAGTTACATCTTTTACAAACTGTTAATTGTGATGAGTTTGTTTAACCGAGCCACAAGGCCTGAGAGGCTCTTGAATTAATCTTTATCTTAACCTTCGGGCTCCGGGAACATAAACTAACATGGACAGTACATAAAACTTCGGGCGCAGGTTATCTTAACCTTCGGGATCGGAGAAAATAAACTAACATAGACTGTACATAAACCTTCGGGCTCGAAGAAGATAAACTAACATAGACAGTACATAAACCTTCGGGCTCGGAGAAGATAAACTAACATAGACAGTACATAAACCTTCTAGCTCCGGGAACATAAACTAACATGGACAGTACATAAACCTTCTGGCACCGGGAACATAAACTAACATGGAAAGTACATAAACCTTCGGGCTCCGGGAACATAAACTAGCATGGAAAGAACATAAACCTTCTGGCACCGGGAACATAAACTAACATGGAAAGTACATAAACCTTCGGGCTCCGGGAACATAAACTAACATGGAAAGTACATAAACCTTCTGGCACCGGAAACATAAACTAACATGGAAAGTACATAAACCTTCTGGCTCCGGGAACATAAACTAACATGGACAGTACATAAACCTTCTGGCACCGGGAACATAAACTAACATGGAAAGTACATAAACCTTCGGGCTCCGGGAACATAAACTAACATGGAAAGTACATAAACCTTCGGGCTCCGGGAACATAACTTAGCATGGAAAGTACATAAACCTTCTGGCACCGGGAACATAATCTAACATGGACAGTACATAAACCTTCGGGCTCGGAGAACATAAACTAACATGGAAAGTACATAAACCTTCGGGCTCCGGGAACATAAACTAACATGGAAAGTACATAAACCTTCGGGCTCCGGGAACATAACTTAGCATGGAAAGTACATAAACCTTCTGGCACCGGGAACATAATCTAACATGGACAGTACATAAACCTTCGGGCTCGGAGAACATAAACTAACATGGAAAGTACATAAACCTTCAGGCTCGGAGAACATAAACTAACATGGACAGTACATAAACTTTCTGGCACCGGGAACATAAACTAACATGGAAAGTACATAAACCTTCGGGCTCCGGGAACATAAACTAACATGGAAAGTACATAAACCTTCGGGCTCCGGGAACATAAACTAACATGGACAGTACATAAACCTTCTGGCACCGGGAACATAAACTAACATGGACAGTACATAAACCTTCGGGCTCCGGGAACATAAACTAACATGGACAGTACATAAACCTTCTGGCTCCGGGAACATAAACTAACATGGACAGTACATAAAACTTCGGGCTCCGGGAACATAAACTAACACGGACAGTACATAAACCTTCTAGCTCCGGGAACATAAACTAACATGGACGGTACATAAACCTTCTGGCTCCGGGAACATAAACTAACATGGAAAGTACATAAACCTTCGGGCTCCGGGAACATAAACTAACATGGACAGTACATAAACCTTCTGGCTCCGGGAACATAAACTAACACGGACAGTACATAAACCTTCTAGCTCCGGGAACATAAACTAACATGGAAAGTACATAAACCTTCGGGCTCCGGGAACATAAACTAACATGGAAAGTACATAAACCTTCGGGCTCCGGGAACATAAACTAACATGGACAGTACATAAACCTTCTGGCTCCGGGAACATAAACTAACATGGACAGTACATAAACCTTCTGGCTCCGGGAACATAAACTAACACGGAAAGTACATAAACCTTCTGGCACCGGGAACATAAACTAACATGGACAGTACATAAACCTTCTAGCTCCGGGAACATAAACTAACATGGAAAGTACATTAACCTTCTGGCACCGGGACCATAAAGTAACATAGAGGGTACATTCGCCCATCCGCCCTCAGGACCATAGGACCACTTATAAGACACCTGGTAATGATGCATAGTTGTCATGGTTTTCAAAAATACTTTGATGACATGCCTTTGTTTCACCCAGTATAAACTAGATATATAGTAAGCAAAATGTGAAATTTTGGTTTTGCCAAATATGAAAATAAGATAATAAGCCAAGGCCAAATAGCATGATCAAGAGATGTTTGAAAGATGGCTACAAAGTGATGTCTCTTTATAAGACCCCAACATTAAAGAAGACCTGGTTTCCGTGGTAACGGTAAACGGACTAATGGTGACGTGTATTTTTTGTCACGCAGGGTCCAGAGCACGATCGGCAGACTGATGCACACTGGGGCACACTGGGAGACACTTGGGCACACCGAGGTACACTGGGACACACTGAGGCACACTTGGACACACTGGGACACACGGGGGCACTGAAACACACTGAGGCACACTGGGGCACACTGGGACACACTGGGACACACTGGGGCACGCTTGGACACACTGGGGTACACACTGGGACACGCTGGGACACACTGGGACACACGTGGGCCCTGAGACACACTGGGACACACTGGGGCACGCTGGGACACACTGGGACACGCTGGGGCACGTTTGGACACACTGGGGTACACACTGGGACACGCTGGGGCACATTGGGACACACTGAGGCACACTGGGACACACGGGTGCACACTAGCGCACTGAGACACACTCGGGCACACTGGGACACACTGAGGCACATTGAGGCACACCGAGGAACACTGGGACACACTGAGGCACACTGGGACACATTGGGACACACTGAGGATTACTTGGACACACTGGGGCACACTGGGGCACTGAGACACACTGGGGCACACTGGGACACGCTGAGGCACATTGAGGCACACGGAGGCACACTGGGACACACTGAGGCACACTGGGACACACTGGGACACACTGAGGATTATTGGGACACACTGGGGCACTGAGGCACACTGGGGCACAATGGAACACACTGAGGCACATTTGGACACACTGAGGCACACTGAGGCACACTGAGGCACTGAGACACACTGGGGCACACTGGGACACATTGAGGCACACTGGGACACACTGAGGCACACTGGGACACACTGAGGCACACTGGGACACACTGGGACACACTGAGGATTATTGGGACACACTGGGGCACTGAGGCACACTGGGGCACAATGGAACACACTGAGGCACATTTGGACACACTGAGGCACACTGAGGCACACTGAGGCACTGAGACACACTGGGGCACACTGGGACACATTGAGACACACTGAGGCACGCTGGGGCACACTGGGTCACACTGGGACACACTGTGACAGACTGAGGCACACTGAGACACACTGAGGCACACTGGGGCACACTGGGGCACACTGAGGCACACTGGGACACACTGTGACAGACTGAGGCACACTGGTACACACTGAGGCACACTGGGACAAACTTGGGCACTGAGACACACTGGGACACGCTGGGACACACTTAGGCACACTGGGGCACACTGGGACACACTGAGGCACACTGGGACACACTGAGGCACACTGAGGCACACTGAGGCACACTGAGACACACTGACGCACACTGGGGCACACTGGGGCACACTGAGGCACACTGGGACACACTGTGACAGACTGAGGCACACTGGGACACACTGAGGCACACTGGGACACACTTGGGCACTGAGACACACTGGGACACGCTGGGACACACTGAGGCACACTGGGGCACACTGGGACACACTGAGGCACACTGGGACACACTGAGGCACACTGAGGCACACTGAGGCACATCCTGCTGGAGTGTCATAAGCTACACGTGAAATAATGGCTTACATCACTTGGTCGGTTTAATGATAAATCAGCTTAAATGATGTGGTGATTTGTCTTATGTTTCGACAAATATGGGATTGCCTAAAAGTCGGGCCAAGAAAAGTCGGGCCGGGCCGGGCCAGCGGGTAATACTAAAAATGAATTGCAGAATAATAAAACGAAACGCGCATATCTAGGCAGATCTCAAATGTCCACAAACGTATAGTTTTGCTCATTTAATTGAGTTTGAATAAAAATGCACCTTCAACAATGTAATAAACTGATGATTATGACTACATACCGTGAGTCTCGTAGAAAAGTCAGTGTCTTGACTGTGTGTATTCTTTGATTAGAATGCTTCTCACCGACCTTGGCGTGTAGGGGTGTGATGTCCTGGGCAGGAAACGACAGTGTTTTGACTACTCTTCTTTCATTAATTAACGTGTTGGGCATCCCTAATTAACCTTTACTAATTCGTGTTAAACCAACACGGGATGTTTTCTGGAAGTGGATATTCGCGAATGTCAAAGGACTGACACGACACGTAGTAATAAATGTCCAAGCACTTCTAAAGTTCCTAACATTCTTTATATCTAAAGATTAGTATAATATCTAATTATATACCACTTTATTGTCTCATATTTCAGTAGTTAAGGAAAACACAGAGCTCAAAGTGAAGCCTTTTTCACTCTACATTCTCAACATAGTCTCTATCAGAAGTGTTTGGCTTGTGTTGGGTCGGACTTGGCCCGGGCTGTCAAAATGCACTTTAAACAAACAAATGTATCATCAAATGTCTTTAAATCTATAGACTAGCATTATAACTACCTAAATACCACTTTATAGTGTCTCAGATCGCTGTACTTAAAGAAAACAAGGGGCTCAAAGTGAAGCCCTTTTCCCTCTACATTCTCAACATAGTCTCTATCAAAAGTGTTTGGCTTGTGTTCGGTCCGACTTCGCCCGGGTTGTCAAAATCAACTTTAAACACATAGAAGTTAAATCAAATGTGTTTACATCTATATCTACCTACATACCACTTTATAATGTATCAGTACATCGTCTTTAAAGAAAACAAGGTGCTCAAAGTGAAGCCCTTGTCCCTCTACATCCTAGACATAGTCTCTATCAGAAGTGTTTGGCTTGTGTTAGGTCCGACTTGGTCCGAACTGTCAAAATCTTCTATAAACACAAAAATCTATCTTCAAATGTGTTTACATCTATAGATTAATATTAAATCTACCTATATACCACTTTATAATGTCACGGTACATCGTATTAAAAGAGGGCGGTCGGGTAGCCTAGTGGTTAAAGCGTTCGCTCTTCACGCCGAAGACCCGGGTTCGATTCCCGACATGGGTACAATGTGTGAAGCCCATTTCTGGTGTCCCCCGCCGTGATATTGCTGGAATATTGCTAAAAGCGGCGTAAAGCCATACTCACTCACTCACTCACTCGTATTAAAAGAAAACAAGGGGCTCAAAGTGAAGCCCTTTTCGCTCTACATTCTCAACATAGTCTCTATCAGAAGTGTTTGGCTTGTGTTGGGGCGGACTTGGCCCGGGCTGTCAAAATCTACTTTAAACGCACAGATGTATCTTCAAATGTGTTAACATCTATAGATTAGTATTCAATCTACCTAAATACCACATTATAATGTCACGGTACATCGTATTAAAAGAAAACAAGGGGCTCAAAGTGAAGCCCTTTTCCCTCTACATTCTCAACATAGTCTCTATCAAAAGATATTGGCTTGTGTTCGGTCCGACTTGGTCCGGGCGGTCAAAATCAACTTTAAACAAATAGATGTATCATCAAATGTGTTTACATCTATAGATTAGTATTTTATCTACCTATATACCACTTTATAATGTCACAGTACATCGTATGTAAAGAAAACTGGTCCGTTAAATTCAAACACTTTTCCTGTATTTTCTTAAGAAAATCTCTGTCAGAAGTGTTGGGTCCGACTTTGCCCGGGCTGTCAAAATCAATTTAAACCTCACAGATGTATATTCAAATGTATTCACATCTATAAACCAGTTTAATATCTACCTTTATACCACTTTGGAGTGTCTTAGTACATCGTATATAAAGAAAACTGGTCCGTTAAAGTCAAACACTTTTACTGTATTTTCTTAAGAGAATCTCTGTCAGAAGTGTTGGGTCCGACTTGGCCCGGGCTGTCAAAATCAACTTAAACCTCACAGATGAATATTCAAATGTATTCACATCTATAAACGAGTTTAATATCTACCTATATACCACTTTAAAGAGTCTCCGTTCGCTGTATTTAAAGAAAACAAGGGGCTCAAAGTGAAGCCCTTTTCCCTCTACATTCTCAACATAGTCTCTATCAAAAGTGTTTGGCTTGTGTTGGGTCCGACTTGGTCCGGGCTGTCAAAATCTACTTTAAACTCACGGATGTATCATCAAATGTGTTTATATTTATACCTTGTTTTCTTTAAATACGATGTACTGTGACGGGAACATAAACATTATAATGATAATGATGATGATAGTTGTTTATGATGAGGATCATCGCCATATTTTAACGTCTATGGTCTGATTAACAAGGAGGCCTTTCATGATTGAATTTAATCGTGCACTATTGCACATATTTATTTATCCTCTTGTGAAGCATGTCAAGACTGAAAACAAGTCATTCAATGGATTTTCCTAAACGACCCATTGATGCAGTACTGAATTTCAATGTTAATGTTTATTTTGTTGATGGTGCTGGACGGTACAGAAATGAGTGTCAATCAAGCGAAGTGCCATATCAAATCGACCCAGAACCAGTCACTTGCCACTCGAAAACGTCAATGTGTGATTTTGTGTCAAAGTTGATGTCCAGCTTGACACAAACACAGTATCTTTGGCATGGTTCGATCCTCTTGTTACCGTAATGTGTGGTTTTGACTCCGAGACCATCAATGGTACGACCCAGAATATGCAGAGGGCGTCGTGGGAAATGATAATTACATATAAAATTCTTTGGAATACGCCCACATACAGAGTCAGACGTATCCAAGCGATCAAACCTGATATGGTCCTTTTTGATAAATCCAATGAAAGCATTGTATGACCGATTTATCTATCTGTTTCTTTTTAAACTAATGAGATTCAGGAGAAACAAGGCAAAGACAGTATGAGGACCGTACTAACGAAATGTCAAGCTAGCTTCCCAAGTTGTTATACTCGCCATTCATGACAAGAAAAATCCCGTTTCCTGACGCTTAAAATAGTGTTTATATTAATTAAAATGCACACATTTCCAAATATTCGAAATATTCCAGTGTCCATACCGTCCACTATCCTTGAAGGATAATGATGACGTAGACGACGACAACGACAACAACGATGTGCTGCATTGACTTTCAGAAAGCATATGATTCTGTCTGTTTGGGAATGTTTGGACATGTTGTAGACATTTTCGTCAGTGTCCACATCGTCCACTATCCTGGAAGGTGTATCTTGCCACATATCTTTGCGGGTAGATACACAAAACCAAATAAAGACATGACACATGTGTGTGCATACAATTTGGAATAATATGGACAGTTTACAATCCTAGACACATTCCACATTAAGCCATGTTAGATCATGTTTACACTGCTGTTTTATGTATGAGAACACAAGAAAGTACGGATTTGTCAGTCATTCAAATCTCGGGTTCAGCAAAAGTTTTCGTATCTATTTTTAGTAAAAATCGTAAGGAGTTTTGCGATCAGGGTGTTAGTTGTCAATTTTAGGTGCTTAAAATGCACTTTTATGAATCCTTGGCGTCTGTAACCTTGGGAAACGTTGTAATGTTATTAATACAAAAATCAGTAAAAGATAAAGCATATATTTTGTGACCGGAACTAGCATGTTCGAGGTAAAGCTTACGTTTTGTGTACCATCAAAAGCATGCCAGTGATGACATTTCTTTAAAACATGACAAAATCCCCATCATCCACAACATGAGAGATATTGACCACGAAAGTGTGTACCGAACTCTCGAACCTATTCTCCGATCACGACCGCCTCACCATAAAAAATACATATAGATTTGGACCTGTGAAGATCAGGGTTAGAACAGATCTTCAGCAACCAATGCTTGTATTAAAAGGTGACTATGGTGCTCGTTAGAGGCGACTAACGGGATCGGGTTGGTTGTCAGGCTCGCTGACTTGGTTGATTGGATGCATGTCACCTTATCCCAATTGCGTGGATTGATGCTCGTGATGTCAATCACTGGATTGTCAGGTCCAGAGTTGATTATTTGCTTGACCTCCGTCATATAGCTGGCATATTGCTGAGTGTGGCGTTAAACAAAAAAACAAACAAACAAAACATATAAATTTAACCGCTTATTTCAAATTCGAGATAAAAATACATAGCGCCATCTCGAACTCCGAATCTGACTTTACAATAGAACTGTGTACCATGATATCGAAGTTTGAATTTGCCACCGTGACAGCTTTAAGAAATCTTAATTAGAATTTTACTTAACTGTAAACAATTCTCCTCGATACAGGTTGAGGAATCCGTAATGAAGTCAAAGAAAGTGTTCATTTGCAACATTGTCAAACTTTGTTTCATCCACAGAAACCACGGACCTTTTTTTCGCAAAACTAAAATTCAACTTAATCCTTCACTTGTTTTTCTGTCACAATGTTTATTGATTATTACCTGCGAAATACATTTCAATTAGCCACACCTTACACCTGTTGTATTCTGAATTGATCGTCTATGCAATCGTATTTCTATGGATCTACTCAGTTTTATTTCGCTTATTGACTTTTTACATAGGTGAACAGGGACATTTATTTTACATGCAAACAACATGTTATTCAGGAAAATATAATTACATGATAGGGGTTTGTGAACACACAAATAATTATTTATTCAAACACCTCTTCCTTTAAAAAAACATATATATTAACACACACAAATGGTTTTTACAAACAATAGTTGATTTTATGCTTCCAAACAAACCACACGCAAGTTATTCTTGAATTTTAAAATATAGCCAAGGTAAATGTATCCACAATCATATTTAATCACAAATATCGTTCTGTTCTATATAAATGTAACAAGTGAACTAACCATTTCAGTGGATCTCAACATGGACAAAACTGTTGGAGATGTTCAATGAGTGAATGTTTATTTAATGAAGTAAAAACGTAGATTCTTTCTTTTGGTAAATACATGTAGCTGTACATCTTATAGATGTTCCAAGAGAAAATGATATAATATCTGCCTATATACCACTTTATAGTGTCTCAGATCGCGGTATGTAAAGAAAACTTGGTGCTCAAAGTGAAGCCCTTTTCCCTCTACATTGATGATACATCTGTGTGTTTAAAGTTCATTTTGACAGCCCGGGCCAAGTCGGACCCACCACAAGCCAAACACTTTTGATAGAGACTATGTTGAGAATGTAGAGGGGAAAGGGCTTCACTTTGAGCACCAAGTTTTCTTTAAATACGATGTACTGTGACATTATAAAGTGTTTTATAGGTAGATACAACACTAAGCTACAGATATTAACACATTTGATGATACATCTGTGTGTATAATTGATTTTGACAGCCCGGGACAAGTCGGACCGAGCACAAGCCAAACACTTCTGATTAGAGACTATGTTGAGAATGTAGAGGGAAAAGGGCTTCACTTTGAGCACCTTGTTTTCTTTAAAGACCGCGATCTGAGACACTATAAAGAGATATTTAGGTAGATATAATACTAATCTATAGGTGTGAATCCATTTCATGTTACATCTGTGAGGTTTAAGTTGATTTTGACAGCCCGGGCCAAGTCGGACCGAACACTTGTGAGACTGTTGAGAGCATGGGGAGAAGAGGTCTACTTTAACCAACGTGTCTGCTTTATACACGATGAACAGTGACATTATTAAGTGGTATTTACATAGATATAGTACTACCCTATAAATATAAACGCTATGCCGACAGATGGAAATTTGTATCGCGATAGCTAGAAGTATTTGATACGTTTCAAATCTTATTTCGTTTAATGATTGCTCTTTTACATGTTTCCTAGATCAGCGACGCTTACACACAGCTCCACTTTCGGGATTTCAAACGATTTACTCCGAAATACCTAATTATGTTTCACGTTTTTGGTTGGTGATTGTTCATTAATGTCATGTGTGTATGTTGCATCAATAATATGTAGGTATGATCGCCGATAATGAAGTAATTAGCCAATAACACTTTGGCCCGTCTTGGCCCGGCCCGGCCCGGCCCGACTTTTAGGCAATGCCGACAAATATCGCTACATACATGTACGTGTCTGTTGGACAGCTGTTACGGTGAAAGTGTTAACATTAACACGCTGTATCAACAGACTAGATTATTGATAACTGCATGTAAGCAGTTATAAAACCACATAGTTTGGGTCAGCAATATTAACGAGTGTCATGGCTAGTATTGAACAGGTCATTGTTGAAGTAAATCACACGTAGAATATAAAAACGAATTCGTTTCTATATTTGGAGTATACAGAAACATATGCTGGCCGTGTTGACAACGACCAGCCCAGTGTGCAAAGACAGGCCGCGACAGCCATGCTGCCACGCAAAAAAACTTTTCTGTATTTTGAATTTTGTTTTAGGCGCTTGTTGTTTTGACAGCTGGTTTTTAAAAATGCAAGAGTGAATGAGTGAGTTGGGTTTAACGCCGCTTTTAACAGTATGCCAGTTATATCACGGCGTGACAGCTTGATGTTGTAAGAAAGACCGAAGGATGGAAAGTGAACTTTTTTCTTCAAATACTAGCTTCCCCGGTAATGCGGACAACCGATCAGTTGTTTCAGTCAGAGGTGGTTATTGTGATTTGTAACCTCGGATGTGTGCAATGGAATAGAAGGTTCCAAATATAAAACAATTCAGGAATCTGTCGAGTATGCATTCTAATCCGTACAATGTGGATAAACTTACAAGGACGCAACTCGATAACGACACATCTTTCGAAATATTTCTTATTTCACGAATCTATTAAACTCGAGCAACATTTGGAAAATGCTCGAGTCTGATTGTCTGTTAAACAGAAACAGCATTGCATTTTACTCCTAATTGGAGGATAAGGATATATTTCCGACATGGTTTGCAGAATGGTATCTAAAATGTGCGACAAGGCAGGTTACAATAATCTTACGAGAGGTGTCTGAAAAGTTCTAAGCCTAAATTCGAATGATGTATAGTACACCCTTAACGTGCTTGATTACAATACCACCAGACTCTTTTGTACCAAATTCACAACCAGTACGCATAGTTCATATGATGAAAACATAAATTCATGGAACTCAAACAGCCATCCATGCGGACAAAGCGATCTTAGAGCTAAGACTGCCGTAAGTCTATGTTAAAGTATAGGAGTTACGATCATCTTAGCGCTACGATCGCTTTGTGGAACGGAGCCACGGTGTCTACTTTAGCGGACGATGCTCCTTCCTTTGCCACTGTTTGTCACAGTTGGGCGGCGGAGTTCAAGACTGCAACGACTGAGGAAAATGTTGATAAAAGATATGATAATGGATGAAACATAATGCTTACGGCACATCACATAGCCAATGCAGTACTCCCATGAGAGCATGAAGATCATTCTAAGTGAGTGAGTGAGTGAGTATGGCTTTACGCCGCTTTTTTTAGCAATATTCCAGCAATATCACGCCGGGGACACCAGAAATGGGCTTCACACCTTGTACCCATGTCGGGGATCGAACCCGTGTCATCGGCGTGACGAGCGAACGCTTTAACCACTAGGCTACCCGACCGCCCCAGATCATTCTGAGGAATGAACTGGACATGACACACGTTTCAGCATGCATGGTTCTAAGGCTCCTGACTACCGATCAGAAACACTCCAGGGTCCTCATGTTTCGTGAAAGTTTGTTTTGAAGCAGACGCAGATGGTCTTGTCGAGCGAGTTGTAATCATGGATGATTCTTGGGTTCGCCACTATCAGCCAGGGACAGTACATAAAAGGAGTGGAAACATGTAACGTATCCTCCGACGCAGAAGACAAAGTCTGTTCCATCAGCTGACATGGTGATGACTCAGGTTTTCTGAGTTTAAGGGGAGTCCTGTGGCGGACTACCTCCCGAAAGGTCAGACCATTAATGACCAATTGTGTTAATTTGCTTTGGCAACTGCTCGAGAAGGCAAAACGTCGTGCAACATAATCATAACTTGGTCATGTACTGGTGTCACCATGGCTGCAATGCATGTCTGTGGCCTTGAACTCCACCTCAAAAACAAATCTGTCTGGCCATCAGTATATGCAAACGTCATTTCTGCTGTAGAGGACATTTTAAACATCCAGGAAGAAGCCTTCTACACCAGTTGGATCCAGACACTCCAGGATCCTTGTCAGAAGTGTGTTGACCCCGGAGGGGAGTAAGTTAGATATTACATAGCAACCAACTCCACCAACGAAGCCCATCAAAGTTAGGCTTAGATTCTTTCATCCACTCCTCAAATGTGGTAATTTGCATACTAAGATCAAATGAACCATCGTGTAGATTGACGATTAATATCTGCGTTCTGTTCGAGAGGACTCCAACACTACCCCATATAGTTACTGCGAAGATTAATGTCTGCGCTCTACTGCAGATGACTCCAACACTGCCCGAATAGATACTGCAAAGATTAATGTCTGCGTTCTATCGTAGAGGACTCCGACACTGCCCGTATAGATACTGTTATTATGTTATTGCCTCGTCCGAGTTGTTTGATATGTGCCATAGCTTTGACATACCGTCTCGAGCCGAGTCATCACACCTTCCTTTCACGACTAGTTTACGTACGCTTCTAGTAAATGACCCTATGCCACGCAATACACGTAACAACGCTTCCTTCAAATGTGTGTGGGTTGAAGAGAAGGCTTAACAGTTTAGAATAAACCAAATGTCTGGGACTGCGCATGATCTACTGGAGAAGGCTGTAGATGTAGCATTTGTTAACGTTGAAGAAAGTATTGGGTATATTACTGAAGCTGTTATTATTGCTGCATCTGATCTGAAGAAAATGAACAAGGGCTGTAAATATGATCAATAATCATAATGCCAGCTACTCAAAAAGGAACGATGTAGACGTTTAAATAACTTTAAAAAGAATAAGGACAGAGGATCACCAACAGACTTTAATAGAGTAACAAATCAGTACAACGATGTTTGCAAGAAAAAAAAGACAGAATATTTCGAACAAAAACAGAAAGTGTTGGAATCAAACATAGATAATTCTAAAACATTTTGGTCATCGCTAAAAGCCATTAAACCAAATAGATATTGCAAAAATGACATTAATATTCAAGTCTGGTTTGAGCATTTTCAGATATTGTTTTCAGTTCCATTTAGCCATGACGATAACAATCTATTTGGCATGGAATTCAACGAAGATAGAGTTGACAGTGTAACAGCTGATATTCTTGAATGTCCAATATCTAAAGAGGAAATTATCGACAGCATATCCAACCTTAAAGATAATAAGGCAGCTGGAAATGATAATGTGACAGAAGAGTTTTTTAAACATTCCTCAGATATTTAATACCATATTTGGAACTTATTTTTAATATCCTTTTAGAGAGATAATATTTTCCAGAGAATTTGACAGTTGGCATCATTGTTCCTCTTCACAAACAGGGCGCAACCAGCGATGTTAATAATTATAGAGGCATAACTCTCCTAAGTACATTCAGTAATATACTTACTTCGATTATTAACAAGAGACTTGTTTTCTGGGCGGATTCTTATGATAAAATAAGTGAGTCACAAGCAGGTTTTAGAAAGGGATACTCCACCACTGACAATGCTTTTATCCTATATTCTATAATACAGCGATATCTATCAGTGAAACGAGGGAAGCTATATGCTGTATTCTTAGATTTTGCAAAAGCTGTTGACTCTGTGAAAAGGGTTAACTTGTGGTTCCCCTTTCAAAGACATAAGCTAAGTAGCAGAATTGGAAAGTTATTGTGCTCTCTATATAAGAATGTGAAGGTGTGTGTCCTGGAACAATGGCGCTATATCGAATAATTTTGTAAGTAGCATGGGTGTCCGACAAGGGTGTATGTTAAGTCACTTCATATTTTCCTTTTTCATAAATGAATTAGCATATCAAATCCAAAATAATTGCACAGATGGAATACAACTACACCCCGAAACTATTAAATTATTTCTGCTTCTTTTCGCTCACGATATAGTCATGTTCTCGAGCACAATACCTGGCTTGCAAAAGCAAATACATGTATTAGAGAGTTATTGTGAAGGGTCAAAACTTCCTGTAAATATGGATAAAACCAAAGTTGTAGTTTTTAAAAATGGTGGGAACATATCCAGAAAAGAAAAATGGCACTACAGAGGGAAGCCAGTAGAAGTTGTTCCATTTTATAAATACTTAGGCGTGTTTTTACATGTAGATTAACTTGGTCAAGGAATGCACATAACATTTCATTTCAAGCCAAGAAATTTTTTGTAGGCATATTAAAAAGTCTTAGAGTTCTTGACAATATTACATATGATGTTTATTTCAAAATATTTGATACAAAAGTAAGCCCGATTCTATTAATATTGTAAATTTGGGTCCTAGAACATTTGGATGTTATTGAGAAACTACATTTATATGCATGTAAAAAGTTCTTGGGTGTAAAATCTAGCACAGAAAACGCAAGGGTATATGGTGAATGCGGACGGTTTCCCATGTATATCAATAGTTATTTAAAGGTTATTAAATACTGGGTCAAGCTATTAAATATGCCATCTTCAAGATACCCTAGAAAATGTTATAATATGATGCTTCTCTACGACAGCCATGGGAAACAAAATTGGGCATCAAAAGTAAAAAACATGTTATACGAATGTGGATATGGTTATATTTGGTTACAGAAACATGTAGATATCCCAAAGTGTTTCTTCTCCCGTTTGACACAGACCTTAAAAGATTTGTACATCCAAAAATGGCATGGTTCTTTGTCCAGTTCTAGAAAAGCAAATCACTACACTACATTTAGGACTACTATAATACGAAAACCTTATCTATTAAGTGTAAATTTACATAAGTTTAGAACAGCTCTTTCTCGATTTCGTTGTGGCTCACATGGTCTATTTATTGAAACAGGCAGATATGAAGGTATTGCAAGGGAACATAGCTTTTGTAGGATTTGTAAAATTGATTGTATTGAAGATGAATATAACTTTTTATGTGTATGTCCAGTGTGTAAAGATTTAAGAGGAAAATATCTAAATAACTATTTCTATCGCAACCAAAACGATAACAAATTTTGTGAATTAATGACTTGTGATTGTACAGAAACTATTAGAAATCTATCAATGTTCATTTATCATGCCATGAAACTAAGAAAATGTATGAATTTGTAACACGCCCCACACATTGTACTATAGGCCTTTGGCCTCATAAGTACCATGAATAAAGATTGATTGATACTGTGAAGATTAATATCTGCATTCTATTGCAGTGGACTCCAATACTGCCCGTATAAATACTGCGAAGATTAATATCTGCATTCTATTGCAGAGGACACCAACACTGCCCGTATAAATACTGCGAAGATTTATGTCTGCGCTCTACTGCAGATGACTCCAACGCTGCCCGTATAGCTACTGCGAAGATTAATATCTGCGTTCTATTGCAGAGGACTCCAACGCTGTCTCACAATGATCCGGCACAGGCGACTGATGAAACTATTGGTGCTGTTGGCTGTGGTCATGACTGTAACCCTTTTTGTGCAAAATCTACAGCATGGTGAGATACGGCGTTGTAATATTTTTCCAGATGCTATTTGAATTTATTCTGATTTATATATTCCTGTGAAAAGGATTGTCACTATATCTATAATTGATTCAAATAGTATATTATTTTGCTATAAAGAGGGACTCCGTTGACAGAGTTAATAATACTGTCTTTGTGTTTTCAATGTTTTGACAAAGCTTGTGTCCTTATATGATATTTCATGTCAATTAAACACACTTTTTATTTAAAATTTCAGGGCATCTTTCGACATCTGATATTGCGCTTGAAACACTATCCGCGGGGGAAGTCACGATGCAAGCTACAGCAGAAAGTAAGATTTTAAGTGACATGTTGAACTTGTATGATATACTAATTAAGAATAATTGTTGAAAGTAACTTTTTTTAAGTCAATGCATTACGACTAACTTCATTGCAATAGGTCGATAACCTGAGGAGGCTGTCCCACCAGTGTTGCCGGACCTGCCCTCTTACGGTTTTGTTCAATTCGATAAAGATATCATGGGAAAAGAAAAGGAGTGTTTTTTCCCAAACCCACTACTTTCAGATAATATGTCCGACAAATAAGTCGTATTTACACCTCAAGTTGTCTCCGTTTGAACTACAGACATTACAGCAACAGCAAAGGAGACCATGGTTGTCATACTGACGTACATGCGCAGTGGATCCACGTTCACCGGTGACATCATCCAGAGGAACCCGGATGTCTTCTACGTGTTTGAACCGCTTCACTCGGTAGAGAGGTTCCTCAGGGGAAAAGTGAAACTTATGTTCTTCAATCACAGGTATGTATCAAGGCAGCGTGTTACCGATAGGAAGCATGCAACACGGATAAATAATGTATGTATATAATGTTAATGATATAAACAGTTTATCAAAATGGTTAAAACATATCACAAATTTGTATTGAGACAACGTGAACGCAGTTCGTGAGTAAGTTAAAATGTATGTCTCATCTGTAAATCAGTTATCTGTAAATCAGTAATAACTCAGTGGTCATATATAATACAAACAATAATGCGAAAAGGTTGGAATATTTATGTATAATTATGATATAGTTTGACATTGTTTAGCTATATAAACAAAGATCCCTTAAAATAACCAGAAGGTACCACTGCCCAAATGATCCCCACACTTCAACACTGCCATTACTCAATCTGCTGAAAGTGGGTTCGACGGCTTAATATCAAACCATTAGTCTATAAGTTTCACCATATTCACCAAAAGTCACCTGTTACTATGTACTTTCTTGACAAAGGACAAGACTGGAAAAGGGTAATTATTTACCCACAAAATCTATATAATTATGGAGACAGAAATAAATATTTATGGAAGTTCTTAGATATGTTCACGCGGACAGTACAAACGTGGTAACGTATCATCTAGCGTCACGGACTGGAATGGTTTCTTGAAGTTAGACGAATCACTACTATTACTACTACATGCTGGAGCTTTATTCCAGGTTTATCATGTGAATATTTCAATGTATTAATCAACACTTTCTTTTTTGTTTCTAGCCAACCATCAAGAACGATTTCAAGATCACAGAAAACACTTGAAAACTTCCTGACCTGTAACATGCGCGACATTGACGTCTTTACCCTGGGTCAAGCTCACATGTCCAATAGTATTGACACTCGTGCCTACCACGGCTGCAAGACACATAATGCAGGAATCCTTGGAACCCTGGATTGTCTCCCTGTATTAGAGCAGCCTTGTGTGAGATCTCGTGTATCATGTGTTAAAACCATCAGATTCAATATGACAGACATGACGTACCTCATGGACAAATATAGAAACATTAAAATCGTTCACTTGATCCGAGACCCGAGGGCGACGCTGCGGTCGCAGAAAAGCGTGAGGGAGTTTTCCTGGGATAGCTTGGACATACATGCAGAAAAACTCTGTCAGAGAGCAAAACGGGATTTTGATGTTTCTTCAAAGATGAAATCCCTTTACCCTGGACGTATTTTGACTCTTCGTTATGAGGATTTAGCCGAGAGGCCTTTCGTGATGACAGAGCAGATATATAGATTCATCGGTCTAGATTTAACTCCCAGCATTCGCGATTATGTCCAAAATATAACCAATGCAAGTGACAAGGCCTGTGTTAATATTCGTTTGTGTACGCGAAAGAACTCCACGAAAATCATTTCAAAATGGCGAACAAGTCTGTCGTACAATCAGGTGTCTGCTATTGACAAGATCTGTGAGCCTTTATACAAGGTGATGGGTTATCTACCCGTTAATAACGAACAGAACCTTCATAATCTCAGTGTTCCCATGTACACAGCAGTACCAGAGGAGAAATCATTAGAACATTAGGATGGTGTAAAATACTCAACTTCTACATACTGGTCGCCTGTGCAAAGTATGGAATGCCACCTTACCTCGGCCACGCCCACACAGACGCCCCTGCCCATATCTAGAGTCACACATTAAAGTTGGAGTTCCAAGTTAAATAATTAACATTCAACTCGTCTTCTAATGACATCACCCTATCTGACCCATAATTATATAAATGCTACTATCTGTAATTAATACACATGTACATGTATAAGTAATAACTGCCCGCACACCTAAGGCTACCCCTCCCCGCCCCTCCATCCTAACTCTGACACGTATCAAGGACAACCACAGAGGTTTATGAAACCCTCCACGTACTCCGCAACACCATCAATATATTCACCACAACCAAAACCCCATACCCAATTCCCCATCCCGCCGTCCAAACTCCAACATGTTTCCAAGATGCCCACAGCAGTTTTAAACCTGTACTGCTCAGTCCCACCCAAACATACATGTATGTACACCACAACCACAACCGTAACCTCACCATCCCAGACATTATTTTCAATATCAACTCCCTTGACTTCATTAGATTAGAACATTGTTCAGAACTCTACAATGTAATTGTAGTTTGAATTAAGGGGACAGATAATAGTCAGGAGAGTATAGGGTATGGGGGCGTGGCTTCTCTCAAATGACGTAGTGGCAAAGTATTGCCCAATGACCTCAATGGCCGAAGGCATGAGTTTGTCAAATGACGTCACCCGCTCATACCTCCGTGGTGTGGATGAATCACCATGCCCTGTCTGTCGACTACATCATGGACTGATAGTATTGATTGTATAAATGAATCATGGTTAATCTTTTAGCTATATGGTGGTACATTTGCTGGACCTAACTGTATCTCTCTGTACGGATTTGTATGGCGCTTGGAATACGGTATAAATGGACATATCTTGATAGTACTGATGTGTAGTTTTGCCAGATTTCTTACTGAGTTAACATACTGGCTTCATGTGTGATTTATATGTCACATACACAGCTCAATACAGATCTTTGATCAAACAATTAATCTAACTAATGCTTAAATACACTAGTTATGTTATTTGAGGCACTGTCAGTTGGAACAACTACACACATTTCCTGGAGGGCAGCCAGACTTTAGATGACAGCTGGCTGGAACAGAATGGGTTTATTTCTATAATGTTTCCTCTTTTTGAGCTTGTGCATTTTACCAGTGATAATATCAATCATTGATTTAACCCACTTCTCTTTGGGCCCAGTTGATTTTGTTCATATGCTTCGACAGTATCCATAATCAAGATTTGAACCCAATTGACTGCAGTCTGTTCACAATAGTGTGGGCCATATAGAATATCTGACCAAACTGTTTTTGTCAACAATAGAGAAGTCACTTGTGATAACTTTACCAACAGATTGGTAGCTACAAATAGTGGAATTTCCATCATGATCTGCAAAGTCCCATTTCTGTAACACGTTCCTGTAACTGAACAACTTGGGTGAAATGGTGTTCGTATGAGAAACGGTTTGGTGAAATGGGGTTTCACGTCGCGTCCAAGATTATTGCACTTATATAGCGACGTGCATATACGTGTGTTTGTGTGGCTGCTTGTACTAGTCCGGACTGACGCCGATTTATAGTGCTAGCTCACTGAGATACCATGCCGCAGTTTACATGAATACCCCACTCAGACACAGTATACTGACTCCGAGCCGACCAGTCCTTGTTTTTAGCCCCTTAATGCCGAGCGCCAGACAGGGTAACACCAAGTACCATCTTTAAACGTCTTTTGGTATGACGCGGTCGGGGATTGAACCCCGGACCTTCCGCTCTCCGGGCGGACGCTCTACCACTAGACCACGGAGGCGGTCCTCATATGAGAAAATGAAACTAATGGTGGTTCCTCATATATGAAATATTGTAGTACAATTCGTGAAACTGATGTTTATCTGTGAATGTTACTAAACGTTAAGGCATCAATTCCTTAGTTTGCAGATTTCAAATTCAAGAACATGCTGTCTTTGTTTGATTTAGTGGAGTCTTTTTCCTGTCTGGCCAAACCCAGCAAAGCAATATCAAGAACTATACTCTCTGATCTAAACTATATGCACTTACTGTTCGGGGACCTATCAGCAAACGTTGCTGTAGTCGTTCGAGTTCTTTCAGTGGCACCGAGTAAGGTCTTGTTCTTACTATGTGTAGCTATAATATTTCCTGAAGGAGAGGCAACAAATCTCCCAGATGAATGGTGGTATCATTTGGCCTTCGTTCGTTCTTGTGGCCATGGCTGAGTTGGGGATGCCGGAAACATACTCAATACATTGACGTCGGCAGTACGTTGGCTGGAGAGACTCAATAACGCAAAGGCTTTGCTTGAATTTATGCAAACTCAGTAAAGAACCAAATTCTATTCTGTGTAAACATTTGATTTTTCAGCATTGTACACAACTATCCCCCACGATACATTTTAGACACTTGATCCATTGGGCATTTGTTACTGAACGTGAAGACCATAGATAAGTAATCTTCAGAGGTTCAGGACAATTTTTAAAAATGAAAGCAAATGTAATTTGTTGTTCACTGAATAAACAATATGTGAAATGTTGGACTTCCTCCTGTCTATGTGAAATTTAGGAATAAGTCATTTAGGCAAGAAGTAGGTATCCCCATGGGAACCAATTGTGCTCCCTTTTTATCTGATCTGTTTATTCTCGGCTTAAGAAAGTCAAAACAAGAGAATTTGGCCAAGAAGTTGAACTTAAGGTTCAGGTATATCTATGATCTGATATCATTCAACACTGTGAAATAGCCATGTACCTTTCACTGATTTACTCACCTAAACTAGAAATAAATGAGACCAGTGAAACTGCCTTATCAGTTTCATATTTAGATTCATCCATAAATATTCAGAGGTACAATATACTACCCACAGGACTGTTTGACAAGAGGGATGACTTCAGTTTTTCAATTGTCAACTTTCCCTTAATGTCGAGCAATATTCCAGCAACTCCAGTCTCTGGTGTCTATATTTCACAACAGGTACAATCGAGTATGCTCTTTCTCAAATGTTAAACAGCGGTATCCGACTCTTGCTCATTCAACGCCTCAGTAAAGCTTTCGAAAACATGTCCAAATTTGACACGAGTGATAAAGATGATGGATGGAATTCTTTATTTGGACTTGTACCATATATTCTCGTGTCTTTGTCAGGTGAAAAGTGACTTGCCTTTGCATGTATGTGTGACGGGCGCTACAGGTGGGGCAGGATACGCTAACCTATTCACGAACACCTTTTATCACCTTTATATAAACTGCCGGGCAAAATAAAGTAGACAACAATGTTTGATGGTGGCTAAAAATGAAACAAGAAAACAACCAATTGTTGTACAAAGCCGTCATTAAACTATAATTATGTGATGATACTTTAAGCATAGGGTTTCCATCGACGTGTCATGAGTGAGTGAGTGAGTGAGTTGGGCGCTGCTTTTAACAGTATTCCAGTTATATCACGGCGTGTCAGCTTAATGTGGGAGGAAAGCCCGAAGTGATGCAGCACTCAGACGTTTAGCACTTCGGTGAAACCCACGAGCACGGGTATGATGTTGACCAACTAAGAAACATAATGGGGGGAACCGGGATTCGAACCCACAAGCATAGGTTTCTGGCGTGCCCAGGGGATGCAACTCTGCACAGCGAATCCGTGCGCCACCCGTACCCCCGTCGTGTCATGAAACTTCTTCCATCTCATGCTGACATCCACACTATTTCATAATAATGCACGAACACATGCTCATGATGTAGTCGGAATCGTACTCTTCTTTTGGAGTTTTATTATGGTTATTGAAATGGTGTTTTTTTTCTTTTTGTTTGCATGACCTGCTCCGATGAATAAAATTGTAGCCAACAGCTAAATGGACGTATGTCATATTTCAGATATGTTTACATAACAATCGTGTCAGTAATTGAATAGTGTATTTTCTTCATATACCTTTAAATGATTTCTGTAACTTTTTCTATAAAGACTATTTATAGGCGCTGGGGAAGTACAACCTCAGTCCAGAGTTTTGAAAGTTTTGTTTTGGATGATACCAAATTTATAGTGAAAGACAAAATGGAATAATACTTACAAAATCATTCGACTCGTTGGAGTTTATGTAGCCTATCGAATGTGTATACAGCCAGTATCCTCAAATAATTGTCATGGGTTATGATACTGGTAATTGTTACGTTTGTAAACTGCTGGTTAGATTATTTAGAGTAAAGAGAAACACATTTCTCGACTCGACGCTGTTTCCTCAACAATCATACAAGGGAGGCAACTCTGTGCGCTCTAGATATACCGCTACATCTCCCCTCTATAAGATAAAACTGTTACATTGATCATCATCAATGTTGGGATATATAGGGTCAACACACATCATTTGAACATGAAATAAAAAACATCAATAAATCATTCAAAATGATCAAAATGTAGAGTCTTTTGATCTTTGAAATATTGATACCTGAAATCTGAAATAAAAGAATGTTCGTATCCCAATTTGAAAATGTCAACACAATATCACTGATACATTTTCCAATGAAGCATTATGCTGAGTCACTGAACACAAACTCAAATAACAATGTTAAACACTAAAAACTATGAATTATAACTGAATTGAACACATGGATCACTGTCTTAACACTACACTGCTATTTTGGCACAAAGTTTTTGAGATATGCAGGGGGCTTTACAACTCTGCCACTTCTAGTCTTTGTCTGGACTTGGCACTCTGTTGAGGTCTTGACAGTTCAGATCTTGATTGTTGAGGTCTTGACTGTTGTACAGGAACTGATGAATGTTTTGGTTCTGTTGGACGATGTTCAATTTGATCATGATGAACATATGGTTGAAAGTCAAGTGATTTTGGACCGCGAAGGTGTTTATGATTTCGCCTGTGCTGTGTATCTTCTACTGTTTCAATTTGGAATGATCTGATACCAACTTTGTTTCTGACCATAGCAGTGGCCCATTCCTTTCTTCCTCCAAAAGGCTTGAGAACACCAGTTTGTAGATCTGGTAGTGGCTTCACATGTTGACTATAGTATCTTCTTGCTAAGTCTTTCTCTGACTAAGTTTCTTGGATACTGACTTCGCAGTTTTAGGCACAGCCTGCTTGGACGACATACTGATCAAAGTACGTGTTCTTCTACTGAACAAACGCTGAACAGGTGAACTTCCTATTTGGTCAGAAGGAGTGTTCCTCCAATCAAGAAGAGCAAGATGTTGATCTGTACCAGCTTTCTTTGACTTGTTCATGAGTCATTTCCGCTTTTCCATTCGACTGAGAATAATGGGGAGAACTAGTCGTGTGCTTGAAGTCATAGTTCTTTGAGAACTGAGCAAAGGCTTTGAAACCAAATGGAGGTCCATTGTCTGAAAAAACTTCAGTTGGAATGCCATGTCGTGAGAAGTGTTATTTGAATAACTTGATGACTGTTGAAGCAGTTTTGTCGAACAGTCAATCCACTTCAAAGAAATCAGAATAATGATCTGTGATGAGGTAATCTTTTCCCTCGAAACCAAACAAGTCCGTGCCAACTTTTTCCCATGGTTGGTCATGGTTGATCAAAGGTTCTTTCTGTTGATTGTCACTATACACTGCACAGATGTCACACTTGCTAATGTTTTCCGCGACATCCTTGCTCATGTTGGACCAGAATACAGCTTCACGACCTCTTCTTAGGCAACCCTGTATTCCTACATATATATGATTAGTATGTATTTGATGACACTTGAAGGTAATGAACCATATTTATTGATTCAATATCAACTTCCATTTCAGAACGTTCATAGATGGACATGACTCTCTGATCATCATGACTTTGATGCTGAGATTTCTGTGGCAGATAAGCTCGAGGGTATCAGACCATCAGGGTACCCTTCTTGTAGAGTACCTCAAAGTCGTATCTCTGTAAGCATAGCATCATTCTTTGGAGTCGTTTAGGAGCAGTGAGTAGACTTTTATTCATGATAGTCTCTAGCGGTTTGTGGTCTGATTCCACAAGAACATGTCTCCCATACACATAGTTGTCAAATTTCTCCATACCAAACACGATAGCCAGAAGCTCTTTTTCAATTTGAGCTTTTGATGCATACATGACTGGTTGGTTGTTCTGAAGTAGGCACGCTCCCAGACCTCTGTCAGAAGCGTCACATTGAACAACTGTATCCAATTCTGGATTGAAGTATTTCAGGACAGGTGGGGAGGACAAGATCTGCTTCACTTCATTTAAGTATCTAGTGTGAATGTCATCAGTCCACTTGAAAGCAACATCAGCTTTGAGCAGCTCTCTGAATGGTGCAGTTGCTTCCGACAGTTGTGGTGCAAATATCTGGACAAAGTTAGTGAGTCCCAACAGACGCTGGATACCTTGTTTGTCTGATGGAACGGGCATTTCAACCTCTGATGGATCTGCTTTCAAACCTTCAGCAGATATCACATGTCCTAAGTAGAATACCTCAGTTTTCTTCAGCTTCGTTTTCTGAAAGTTCAATTTGATGCCTTTTGACCTGCATCTTTCAAACACAGCTTTCATAGAGTCATGATCTTTGACTGTAGACCATCTCCTGACACAGATAGGATGTTCTCAACATTGACAGTAAGGGGATTCATTTCTTGTATGGCTTGATATCCTAGAACTGGTCTCACTTCATCTTTCAGAATGATAAACTCGAGCTAATATTTATCATTAGTCTTAGGATTCTTGACCCACAGTTTCTTCCTGCCAACTGTTTTCATTTCTGAATTGTTGTACATCACCAGTGGAGTGTCATATTTATTCAGTTCGTCAGGTCTGTTGACATAGAGGGAGTTATACAGTGACTGTGACATAGCATTGATCGTAGCTCCACAATCAAGCTGAAACTTGATCATCTTCATCATTGTCATATCAGCAAATAGTCTCTTCTATGGAGTGCCATTCACCATGGAGACAGATTCTTCAACACTCAGAGCATACTCATTTGACTCACTGTCCGAGTCATAATCATCAGCATTGGCTGCACTGACATTCTGTCTCTGTTTACTTTGACGTTTTGACCTTGTCTTTTACTTTTCAGCTTGCACTTCAGTTCAAAATGATCCACACCCTTGCTATAAAAGCATGTGTTGCCAAAGGCTGGACCCATGTCTCTATCTCTGTCATGTGATCTATCACAATATCTGCAGTCAGAAATTTCATCCCGTTGTAGACTTGATTTTGATTTTGACTGTTCGTTTCTCACAGGTTTCCTGGAAGGCCTTTTGCTGTGAGTTTCACTACTGACATGTGAAACTTGTTCATTCTTCATCGACTTGAGCCGTTGATCTGTTGTTTCACAAGCTCTGCATATTGATATTCACCTCTCCAGATTCAAATCAGAAGTCTATAATAACTTTTCCTGGTACTGGTATTTGAAATTCCGATGACAATTCTGTCTTCGATTAGAGAATTTATCAAAGCTCCATAATTGCAGGACTTGGCCCATGAACGAAGAGCAGCCACATATGCATCGATACTTTCACCATTCTCGTGGTCTCTCTTCTTGAACAGATAGCGTTCAAATGTCTCATTTGTAGCACCAACACAAAATGATTCAAATTTCTGCACAACAATATCAATATCAGCTTTGGCTTCTTCATATTCAAATTGGAAACCATCAAAAACTTCAAGTGCATCCGAACCAATTGCAGTTAACAATGTCGCTGTTCTAAGTCCTTTGTTTTCATTACAAGTCTCTGTTCAATCTCATAGTTATCCCAACCACGCTTGAATCTCTTCCAATTCGATGCTAAATTCCCCTTTAATTGAAGTTTAGGGGCCAATGGAATTGCAGAAGGCATATAAATTCTCTTCAGTGCAGCTTCTTCACCTTCGGCCATAGTTAATTTCAGTTCTGTACTTGCTTGTATTAAAATATTGCTACAGGAGCCTCAGCAAGTCTAGATTTGAAAATCGAACAGTGAGTGAGTATGGTTTTACGCCGCTTTTAGCAATATTCCAGCAATATCACGGCGGGGAACACCATAAATTGGCTTCACACATTGTAACCATGTCGGGAATCGAACCCGGGTCTTCGGTGTGACGAGCGAACGCTTTAACCACTAGGCTACCCGACCGCCCCGAACATCGAACAGAGTTCTACTTGAAATTCACCTATGACAATCGTGAAAGCATCAAAATCGGTCAGTAATGGCAAATATTGATAATAATTTGCACACAAAGTCACATAATTCACAGATGTACCTTTTTGAAATGAGATAAAACTTCATGAAAGTCAATGCACGAAAACTGAATCACGTGTAGCGGCCCACGCTGTTTCGAATTTAACAGTATTTCGATTGAATACTTGCTTAATTTCTTCGATTGAGAAATTCTTTGGGTTGATTTTGATCCCGCTCTGACACCATGTTACGTTTGTTAACTGTTGGTTAGATTATTTAGAGTAAGGAGAAACTTGACGCTGTTTCCTCAACAATCATACAAGGGAGGCAATCTCATTAAAATCAGACCTCAGTTCTCGCTACCGCTAAACAAAGATCTGAGGACATCCCATTACGGGTCACGTCAGACCGACCTTGCGCGAACTTTGACCGACCAATGGAATGACCAATCAGAAGGAAGCTTTCTCGTGCTTTACGGCACTAATTTCAAACTGTCGACAACGCTTGGAAACGTATTTTGACAAATTCTCGATTACAAATTTGAAACCTGAACAAAAGAACATTCTGGAATGGCTAATAGATGGTCTAGATTGTATAGATTCAGTCGTTAAACCCGTAACTATCGTTCAGAGTTAAAGTTTTCGAGGTTGCATCACATTCCGACTGTCACTTTCATAATCTGGTAAACGATGCTCTGATTGGTCGGATGAAAGGTCGTTCTGACGTGACTCCTAATGGGATGTGCTCAGATCTTTGTTTAGTGGTAGCGAGAACTAAGATCTGATTTTAAAGAGATTGACAAGGGAGGCAACTCTGTGCGCTCTAGATATACCGCTACAGTAATGACAGCAAGATATTTTAACAGAACTTTGGTTTTCAGGACTACTATTCACGTGTACGAATCTAATCAAATGTAAAACCTTTGGAATTATTTCAACAGTGTCATTGCTTCAGAACATCCCAGGCTTTATTACAGTCCTGCTATGCATGTTGTTGCCGAGGGAACCAGACACATCAGTGTCAAAAGATACCATGACACCACAAGAAGTAGTAATTTGTCCTTATATAAGGTTGTTTTATGCCATAACAGTGCCCAGACAATAGAAAAACAGAGGAACACAATACCGCAATCTTCCAATCAACACCTTGTAGTCAATCAATATAAAGCACTTCACTCTGTTAATGAAGAAAACGCTATCGCACACTTAATAGTGAGTGTAACAGCGATTGCATGCATCCGATCAATGACGCCGTTGTGTGAATTATATATGTTACCTCTCGGCCTGTTATCAGTGTTTGCACGGCGGATACATAACATCAGAACACGATTTCAAGGCTAGAATAAGTATTAAACTACTCCAATCTCTACATTAATGTGGTTGTCATATTAACGCCCTGGTGTATTGTCGGTTGCTTGTCAACAGTTAGATCAGATATCAGATGTTTTTATATGTCAAGGACGAAATAATCACCCATATCTCAAATACTAGATGACTAAAGTTTGAATAATTTTTTTATTTAATTCACTGATACAGTATTGGCCAGGCATCCAAGTTATGTCCGAGCAGGGAATGACAAAGAAAGAGATGACACAGAGGCAGTATGTTCAAATAATTAGTAGGGTTATATGACACTGGTATGGTGAGGTGAGGTGAGGTGAAATTGGTTTTAACGTCGCGTCCAAGATTATTGCACTTATATAGCGACGTGCGTGTGCGTGCGTGCGTGCTTGCGTGCCTGCGTGCGTGCCTGCGTGCGTGCGTGTGTGTGTTGCTGCTTGTACTAGTCCGGACTAATGCCGATTTATAGTGCTAGCTCACTGAGACACCATGCCGCAGTTCAACATGAATACCTCACTCAGACACAGTATACTGACTCCAAGCCGACCAGTCCTTGTTTTAGCCCCTTAATGCGGAGCGCCAGGCAGGGTAACGACAAGTACCATCTTTTAACGTCTTTTGGTATGACGCGGCCGGGGATCGAACCCCGGACCTTCCGGACGCTCTACCACTAGACCAGGGGTTGTGGTTGGCACTGGTATGGCATCAATACTGGTATTAACAACATTATGTTTTAAAACACAACGGTAAGGAGGACTACCCTTCATCCCACCATTTACTTGCACGTAGCTGATTAAAGGTAAACCTTATGAGCAGTGTCGTGATTTTTTTGACGAGTAGCGAAGCCTTGAGTAAAAATATCTCCTTATCCTCCCTCACGAGAAGAGAGAAACATGATATTTCATGAGACACACGGAATATCCTATCTTTTATATACTATTTCTGTAGTTGTTTTTACAAATGTAAAACCTTGAAACGTAAATTTCCCCCACCTAACACGCAGGGACGGTTCACCACCCCTTCTATTTGCGAAGTAGTTTCGTGTTTGCGAAATCTACGAGACCTTTGTTGGAAGCCAAAGAATACACGCTGGCCAAGTAACAATAACAGTGCTTTGCCTCGAAAATATCACATTTCTCAACTTCGGAAAATTAAGTCTTTCACACTGAAGTATATCAAAATAAGTTTACTGCGTGTCATCGTAATCCTACTGTGTGGATCGTTCCACAGCAGCAATCACTGGTTTGTCTGGTTCAGATTCGCTTATTTACAAGAGGCCGCCATAAACCTGAGTGCAACAAACAAACAAACAAACAAACAAACAAACAAACAAACATACGAACAAACATACGAACAAACATACAATGCATATGTAATTAATTCAAGAACAGTGTGATAAGTACTGACATACAAACTGTGAAACACAAGTGCCACGTTCATGAGTTAGTCTGGCTAACCCTGAAAGGCTCCACGATACTATGCATTAGTGTTATTTCCGTCGCATCATTATCAAGTGCTTGTGCAACGTTTACTTAACGTAAAGTATCTTATCACAGTCTTTAAGGCAGATTCACCACTCCTTAATCATACTGAACAATTGAGGACACATTGTTCCTAAAAAATACATCAGCTGTTCTGCATCAATTGTATGTCTTGTTGGTGTGGGGTCGCTCGTCACGCGGAAGACCCGAGTTAGTCCCCTGACGTGATATTTCTGAAATGTTTCTGAAGCGGCGTACAGCCATACGCACTAGATTGAGGGGTTGAGACAGGATGACACCAATACCCGTTCCTTGCGTTTCACGGTGCTGAGCCGGATGAGCTGGGGAGATGAGTAACTTGACTTTCTCCGTATTTAAATACCGGCATCCTTCTACACAAGAACACTCTCTTGTACGTGGCCGAGAACCGTCTGCTCATTGCCATATATACAATGAAGTTGACAGATGAGTTGCAGGACTCAAAGAGCAAAATAAAACCTCCGATCAGATTAAAGGTGTTTGCATATCGTCCTTGGAAGTCGAATTCAGGGACGATGAACCTTACGGTAATTGTTATTGTCCCTGGGATTACACAGATGAGGTAGATGGCGTTGACGAGGAGCAGCATGCTGGTGGTGCGGTCGTCGTCCTTGACCTTGTCTACAGTGGAAGAGATCCTACGTCTCCATGACGCGCTGCGCTTCAACTTGGACACCACAAGCGCAGTGAACAGGCACACCAGAAACAATGGAATGTACCGGAACACAAAGTTCAGAAACTGATCAAGATAGAAACTGAAAAAATCCAAATTGTCCAGATTGAACTGGGTTGGTTTCAGAAACGGCACTGTTCTGTTTTGTTGGCTGTTGTACACCCAGACTGTTTCATAGAGATTTAGAGCCGGGGCCATAGCTGTGGTTGCAGAAATATAAAGGATGGTTACTGCGACTATCATACGCCGTGGCGTGAGCAGATAATGAGCTTTCAGGGGTAAATACACTGCTATGAAGCGTTCGATGGCTATCAGCATGATCAAGAGTGTCGTTATCCGCCCAAAAAGGATATTGAGAACCAGAACGTGGGATTTCATGATTGTACTGAGATCATCAGCAGCAAAAGCATCGACTTTGGACACAAGACAGTTTAATTTCCTCATCAGTGCCGTTACAAGAAACAAAGTATCTGAAACTGCCATTCCAAACAGGATGACATTGACTCTCTCCTTGGAGCCTTGCACGCACAGGACTACAAAGCTCATGATGTTCCCGACAATCCCAAACAAACAAACAGTAGGCAGGAAGCCACAGTTCACCACCTCAAGAACAAGGTCCTTGGTCCCTGCGCTGATTAACGGTTGGCCAAGAAGACCTTCAGAGGGGGATGTGTATCCATGCGTTGTGTTGGTCAGATCCATCGCCGTGGTGACATCTGATGTAAACTGACCGTTGTCACTTCCGTTGATGAACATGCTGGAGCTGCTGCCGGTGATAGCAAACGTTGTTTCCATTTCTGAGAAGAGGAAAAGCAGATACATAAATCGAAAGTTTTGCTCAAGTGGTCAGAACACATGCTCACTTCAGTCACAAAACAATGTACCCAATTGATTGTTATTTAAAAAAAGGAAACGCTCAACATGTTTGATCAAGACCGGCCGTAAAATACTCTTAAATATGTTTTATACTCACAGTACCTGTATGTATAGAAACAACCACCGAATTGTTAACATTAGGAAATACACATATTTGTGTATACACACTGTGTCAGGCACGAAGAAGAAAGAACAGATGACGTAGGCATCGTTATAGACACGCTTAACCAACACTTTTATAAATATTCTTCCACATCAGATTATTTTATTTTTTTTGGTCACCGTTAACGGTCGTGTCGATCAATGTGACAGAACATAGCTCTGCGTCTATATGCATGTGCGTGTGTACTTGGTGTCAGTAATACAACACGACATGTAAATAATTCACATGTAAATCAAATCACATACAAATCAAGTACTGAATCGTTAGAGTTGAATTGTCTTCACTGTCGTTACCATCCGTATTCTTACCGTCATTGCCATTGTTGTCACCCTTCTGGCAAGGAATAGTCAGAATATCGGAACAATCAACAATGCTTAATGTTAAAGAAAAAGTACATTTATATGCATGAAAAAGATTCCTTGGTGGGAAATCTCGTACGTCCAATTTAAAGATCTACGGAGAATGTGGACGATACTCATGAACTAGATTTACAAAGGTAAAGACGATAAAATACCTAAATGAGTTAAAATGCCTGTAACTTTGGGATGTCACGATTGCCTGATACATAGATGATATTCTCGAATAATACGCTACACGATACACACTTACCTGTTTCGATTCATATTATATTACGGTATCGGTTCACATATACAACATTTAAAACAACAATGGAATGGCTACCTACATTTCAATAAACAATTTTATCATTGTTAGTTCATTCTATATCTTCATTGTACAATGTACACAGTTTTAAGACTGAAAATCTGTTCTAGTCTTTTCTGTTTGGTGTTAACACTCCAGTCGTATCTAAAATAAAGTATTGATTGAAATTAGACCAAATGTTCAGGACGTTTCAAGCCTTTTTAATGTTTAAGCCCCATGAAACATACAAATTCATGCAAACTTTTAGCGAATTAAGTTTCGCGATAGGTATCGTATACAAAATATCGCAAAAGGTATTATCTTGAGATACAGAAGCCAGATATCCAAAGAAATGCTATTACACTGCGACCAACAAGGACAGAAAACTGGGCATCTTTGCTAAACATCAGTTTTATTCATGGGATTGTGGTACTATGTGGAGAGGACATTATACGGATATGCCAGATCACATCATGGATGCTTTTACTCAGACCTTGAAATGTATGTTCATTCAAAATTTGCATTGTTCTTTATAATTATTAAAAAAACTATCAAGTAATTCCCTCTTTAAAAACAGTTTCTGAAAAAAGAAATATGTATTAAATGTAACACTAAAAACATTTCGAATAGCACTTTAAAAATTCAGATGAACTCTTTATCGAGGCGGGAAGGTATATGGAAACATAGAATTTTTTATTGAAACACTGTAGAAAATGAATATAATTCTTATTAATATGTCCGTTGCACATACTGCGTGCTGTGAACCTGAGAAGTTCCAAATATGTTACGTCATAATTTTTCATACACCCATTACTGTATAGCATGTACTGTAGACCTCCCACAATAAACATAACTCAACAATCACATGTGTGAGTTTCATGACAAAATGATTACGTTTTTCTGTCCTCATAGATTTCACTTATATTTGAAGCGATATTGTAATAAAATCTACAAAAAAACATTTCCATAATCATGGTAAATATCTACTTAAAGCAGGGTCCATTGTGTGATTCCGACTATATCATAAGCATATGTTAAGTATTCACCATGTAATGGTGACGCCACGGGTGTTCGCGAAAGGGTGGGCGTATACTGCCCACCGGTGACATCCATATCTGTGTCTCCAGGGCCCACTTGCACAAAACGATCTTAGCGCTAAGACTATTGTAAGCCCATGTTAAAGTATGGGAGTTAAGATCATCTTAGCGCTAAGATCGCTTTGTGCAAGTGGGCCCTGGTGTGATGTTGATACATATGATATGCCAAATATAATATATAAAACCTCAACGCTAGAGCTTAATAAGTCTCGATTATCTGCCTAAACAGATTCTATTAGCGTAAACGGCTAAATAATGGTGAAACGTATATAACTGGATCACTGAAAATCAGTGGTAACACCAGGGCCCACTTGCACAAAGCGATCTTAGCGCTAAGACTAACGTAAGCCTATGTTAAAGTATTGGAGTTACGATCATCTTAGCGCTAAGATCGCTTTGTGCAAGTGGGCCAAGGTGTTCGAGAAAAGGGTAAGCACGTCGTGCCCTATCGGGAGCACCGCCACCCGCCACGCATTGCATAATACAGGGAAGTGTTTCTTTGTTGCCATGCTATGTACCTCACCAATCTGTCACAAATGTCATTTTGTACATGTTACATGGAATATGTCAAATCAGCGAATATGAATAATCGCTGACATTTTCAGGAACACATGTAATGTCTGATCAACGCAGGGAAAATACATAATCCCTTACACTTTTAGGTATTATTGCCCTGATTAAACACAAGGTTTCCAGACATATCCCCTGAAACTACTCCATTCATGGTTGTTAGAAGACGTATTTTCTCAATATCAATATATTAATGTAAGTGAGTTTATTAATAAGAAAAATACATTTGACAAATGATAACATAGATAATCAGCATACATCAGTACCAGCTACTTTAAACTCAATAATGTCACTTTTGCAGTAAGACGCAAGTCATCAAATGTAAATCCATTTGAGATTCATAAACACATGCTCATTATATAGACGGAATCGTAGACAGGGCCTTTGGCAGCGATTTCTTATGAATATGGAAAGGTATAACTCGCTTTTTTTACTTTCACATAAAAATGTACAATATTGGATGTATGAATTCAGACAGTTAGTAATATAACATACATTTATATATTGTAAAGCATATTTCACAGTGCGGATACCATATATGCAGTTTTATGGAGGCTATTAACAAACCTTTATGCTGTCACGCTGTCTTCATTGGGTGGCTGAGATCCCTCTAACCTCTAGTGCTGTATTACGACCAGATGTTTCCTATGGTACGCGATGACACGTGCGCTCTGCTCAGGTGCAGGCCAGCAACTGGAACAAGATATTGATGGTCTATACATATCGATCTTCCCGAACTAATACTCAAAAACTTTGGATATCCGATATGCTTAATCGTGTCGTATTCGGGGAAATCACCTGTGCTAACAGTTTGTTTGCTCTGCAAACAGATGTTAGGGTGTTTGAGGCTCCAGTTTTATATTAAGTGATGGACATTTACAGAACGTACTTATTTTATATACATAGTGATGATATAAATACCCCGTGTGTTTGGAGAACTGTGAGTTCTACAGATATATGTCACAAGAACCACAAAACCACAAATGTTGAATGTATGGAGACATTGAAACACGTTGATGGTGGACACGGCTGTATCAAACTTAATGATGCATTAACCTGACATTAAATCTCCATTAACTAATACACCAATACATTCAGTTGTACCAAAGTTTTTTCTGTTTTTTTTCTTTTATTGTTTTTTAAAAGAAATACCTGTTACGTAAAATTGGCTTCCGACCAGGGTAGCAGAAAGCCCATGACACATAGCACAACTTATCAGTACATCTTAGATTTTTGTACGGATATAACATACTTCACTCTCGTAATACAAATATACTGCATATATCAAGTATGCATAAACTATTAAAGCTTAATATCATATTGCAGTGCAGGAAAGGACATGGTATCTAACATTAATGTCTTAAGTATAAAACTAAAATTAAAATGAAAGCTGCTCATTTCTAAAGTTTTAATGACACCATCCTTTCACTAGAGAGCCATTATTTCATTAAATAGTTCTAGATAGGCAATACTTATGTGCTGTGCATATAAGTGAAAGAAAAGTATTATGCAAGGTGAGGTTCCATATTGAGGGAAGGATCCTTTTCTTATGTATCTTAAATGTTAGATTCCCTCCTGTTTTTGTTAAACTTACCTTTTAGGCGGTAACTAGTTAACCACTTAGGCGCTTAGTATTCATCTCTTCAGCACATCTTTTTAAAGCGCAAACGCTGCATCTTACCAACATGGTCTTGTTACCGATGTTAGTTAAAATGCCAATCCGTGGAATCGGATTAAAGTTTGTTGAGAAACACACTTTTTAGCCTTGGCTAGTCGCTTGGGAAGAAAGACTATCCGAGCGGAGGTTTCCCCTACTCCTACCTCCACGCTTTGTCGCCACTTGAGAGCTTTATGGTCTAATGCCTCTGTCCCAAAGAGGGCGGGTCAGCAGAAATTGTTAAAGCTGAAGGTGACGTCTTAAAACAATTAAAGCAGCAAAAAAACCATGCTTCTGTGAGAAATCCCCGAACTGTAGTTTCTATGCCTTCGTCGGTGCCTCGACGAAGGTTTAAAGGCGGAGTCGTTGTGCAGACAGAAGCTGGTTGCGTAACGTGTAAGGCTGTTAGGCTGGGATTGTGCCAACTTATACCGGTGCAGATTTTAAACACCGTCTGTGTTTTTAAATTAGTACAGTTGTGTATTAGAAGTGACGAGTTTGCGTTCTAATGGATTCCAATAGTTCACACTGGAGACTCAGAGAATCTATGTGATGACGTCCGACACATCTTGAAATTACGTGTTCTTTACTCACTGACATGCATTGACAACATTGCTTGCCCGTGCTGCACACATATCCAATACCCTAAACACTTGTGTACTGACTATGTGTATGTCCCCAATGAGA